AGGACGGACAAGCACAAAAACATTAAATACACTTCCCGACCATGGGGTAACCAACATTGGGTGGGAGGGGTGCCACGACAGGTTTTAGGAAAAAAGACTGAGCATTGAATAGACACTGCAAACAAGAGTATTTAAAAAAAAAAATCACTAGCATCTCGTATGTATTTAGAAAATGTTTCAGAGGCATCGTAGAAAAGAAAGGAAAGACCTGTTAGATTATCTCATCCATCCCCACCTGATACAGGATTGTTCTCAATGTCATCTCCATTGCTTTATCAAGACACATTGAGAAGAATGTTATACTCACTCCATTAAAGCTTCAGGCAATTTTAAAGGCTCCGAGATGGGAATTCACTGGAACGAACAGAAATATTTCACTTAACAGCAAGTTAGTGTTTAAGTCTTATCAGGAATTGTGTGGGGTACAGACACCCAGTCATAAAAGGCATACAAATGCAGAGTGGGGTTGGAATATCGGTCACTATCAGCAGGGGGTACTTGTACGGGGTCAGGGATTCAGGGGCACGAAGTGTCAAGTGAGAAAGGAGTGTTAAGGGTTAGGAAATGCGGAGAACAAAAAAAATGTGTTGCTAGTAAATAGCTGTGGGGCATTCATACCAAACTGAGATTATCTAACAGCAAAGTGGGACACAAGCTAAAAACCCAATCTAACCATATGCTCTGAAAAGGGGAAGAGAATCAATTTATCTTACTGGCATTGTGTAACATTTACAAAGTGAGGAGTGTGCTACACATACCAGAGACAGGCAATTGAGAACAGAAAAGTTTGCACCTTCATGTACACTACACCCTGTTTCCGTGATATCTGAATCTCTTACAAATTCTAAAAGTTATAGGGTCTGATTCAAAGCCCATGGGAATCAATGGAAAGATTCCTATACACTTCCAAAGGGGTTGGATCAGGCCCATGTTAATAAAGGATCTTTGACCACAGACATCAGGAGAAAACATGAAATACACTGATGGCAGATGATGAGAAAAGATCTACTGGGAGAGAGATTTTGGTATCTGGAAATATTACTCACACTATATTGTTTACAAGTTTAGGGTGAAGGTGAGATAAAGAAGGAGTCAGGTGAATGCACTGAACACGAGAAAGTAATTCACTTTTCTATGGAATTCACACTTATTTCTATGGAACCAGCAAGGGACACTTCCCACATGGAGCAGACACACTGGCAACTCAGTGGGAGAGAAGGACTGTGTCTGGAACTAGAGAGCCAAGTCAGACTTTTTAGCATGACTAGGCTTTGAAAGCATTCTCTCTTACCAGAACAGTGGCATACCCTTCTCCAGATGGCAAGGATGCACACCACGACTAGGCGTAGGTTACTTGGAGCAGGATGTCTAAACTGTCATGGATACCAACAGGGGGCTCTGCAGGGAAGAGCTACTAATCAGTAAGAACAATAGTGTTAACTGTGAGAAAGAATCCACTCCCCAAGCAATTGCATCAATGAACTCTGATAGGTTATTTGTACCAAATAAAAGCTTCCACTCCCCATCAAGTTTTCTCTTTGGAACAGTTTGTACTGCCAAGCGCCAGGCAATAAAAAAAAACAAAACAAAAAGCAGCCAGTGATGGACTTGGTTCCTTTAAGCTTATTTAATGATATTTGAATGCTTAAATTTTCTATTTCCCAGCTCCTGAAAACAGAAATACTTTTAAAATGACCAATATTTAATTCCAGAAACATACAACCTTATCCGCTAAGTCATAAAAGAGCTATTTTACAAACATACATCTGGATAATTAGAACAATAGAGTCTTTTCTTAGACATTCAAACATGATCAGTAAAAATACAAGATTATTAATAAAGATATTTTTGTATTTTTTTTAAAGAATATTTCCAGATTTGTTTTCCTTCTTCTCTTTAAAGTAAATTCTCTGTTAAGAGTACATGATTGTATGGTGTACAAAGAAAATAAAAATATTCTAGTAGGAAGAGAGTTCCAAAAGACAATTCAAAATAAAAACAGTGTGTTGGCTGTAGTATCCCTTTTGCAGTACATCTGCTTGTCAGTTGGCACCTGGAAAAGAAAAGGGATTTCTTGGGGGAGCCCAGGGGGCAAAGAAAATACCAATTACCATCAGCACTGAGACTCTAATCAAGGATCACCTACACAGGTAACAGACACCTTTTCTAGCCAAAGGGACACAGTTACTATAACAGTCAGTGAGTATCTATGTTTTATAGATGATGTGTTTCTATCGGAAACACTGAAACTAGGCAGAGGGTTGTGGTGTAAAAGCTGACCAGGGCATCTAGGCTACTCAGGCCATTGGGTTTTCACACCTGATCCTCCTTTCTGATCCTGCCCCTTGGATGTTTTAATCTCCTCTCTCTACAGAGAAAGCAAGATAGAGAAACCTGAGCAAATGTGGCCTAAATAGTATTGCCATCTGCATCACTCCCTTTTTTGTGGGACAAGACACTCCGTCTGTTACAAACCCACACAACCCAATTCTTTCTAGCCCTACGAACTAGATCCCATAACACCAGATGAACACACTTCTCAGAAGGGACTGCAGGGTGCATTGTAGCAATCTTTCCTCACTCTCAAGATGAGAAACGCTGGGTCATCTTTTTATTTAGAAAGACACAATCATCTCAGAGAACACCGTGCCCTGCTGTCCAATCTGAACAAGGGAACATACAATCACAGGCCACGTCATCTCGCGCTTGACTGGAAACTGGAATTTACAGAAGGGATAACCCATGGCTACTGAAGCAAATAAAAATGAGAAAACTGAAGAGTGCATTTGAACATCAGCCCCCCCCACCCCACTTCAAAATGAACCATGCCTGGGATCTGTGATACAGTAGATGTGCTAGGGAATGAAATGGAATCCCAGTGATTTCAGGTCACGGGGCTGGGGAAATGAAGGATCCCTTATCCCTCACCAAGGAATAATGCCCTTAACATGAGATTGATCAATATGGAAAAACAAGTAGGACCAAGCACAACACAGCACGTCATTTCACTTCCCATAAAGCTGGGTCTCTGTAGTGTACCTTGCTTTGCTAGCTCAAGAAGATCCCCATTATCTCTTCTATGCCACTCCTACCAGCCAAATCATCCCACAGATTCATGTGTCACCCCCACTACCACAGCTGAGAATGGGACAGTCAACATTTCCCCTTATACATCTGGAGAGGTTGCAGAGACAATATCCCATCCCACCTCCCGCGGGACTAAAGGCTATGGCTAAGTTAGCATTTTAGGGGAACTCTCCCACCCCTGCAGCCCCAGTAGTGGTAACCAGAGTGCAAGTCTAGATGACACACTAAAGTCAATCTCTATCTTCACTAGCCCTTCCACCACCACCACCTCTGGTGGAACTGCACTGACGCTAATAGAGTGGTGGGGGATTTCCCCCCAAATGCTAGCGCACATAAGGCAGAGGAGTCAGACAAGCCAGGACATGGAACTGCAGACCATTCCCCACTAGGCCATCATTACACACTCCTCTCTCCGCTGCTTATGCAGCATGCTTCTCACCACGAACGTTAGGCTTCCTGCACCGAGTAAGGAGGCTGGAGACCTCAGGAGCCACAATGGCAAAGAGCTTGGCCATGATGCTCTCCTAGACCCCATCATCTTCACTGGGCTTTGAACCTGTGTTTGGACAACGGGTCTGAACTGTGTTTATTAAACGCAGCTCAAAGTAGGGAGGGATCTACGCTCAAACACAGCTTGGACAGCTCTGGAAACGGGTTATAAAGGCTAGTGCGGCAGGGCTATAGCAACTGCTCCAATTCATGCAGCGGAAAAATCAGCTCTTCCATCCATCCCTGTAAGAGAGACGCACCATGCTGATAAAGAGAAGAGGCTAAGGGGGAAGAAACAGTAGCTATAAAATGAAAAGGGCATCCAAAACTAAGCTTGGCCATGGACCAAGAGATCTTTGTGGCAGGATTGGGTAAAAGGGAGACTCCACACAGCGTCAGGCACCATTTGTTACAACCGTTTAATTTCTGGGTTCGTTAGAGCAAGTCTAGATGTTTAAAACTAATAGAACCATATGGCTGGGGCTGGGTGCAGAAGTCCTGCTTGTCTGACACTGGAAGCTCTTAACGGATGCTGATCATATGTTCATACAGGCATAACCCAGGAGCCCCTAGCTTGGCACCAGTGAGATGCCACTGCCAGTCTAGAAGGTAACATTTGGGCTTGTGTTGGGAACGTGGGGATCCTGCTGGGGAAGTGTTCCATGCACTTGGCTTCTACAAGAGAATCCTCCCTGCTCTCCAATGGTCCCAACTTGTAAAGTGGATCCAAAATCATCTCTGTTCAACCTATAACAACTGGGATAAGCTCTTTTTTTAAGGAAAAGGACAAGAACTGGCTTTTGCGTCACAGGAGTGGAAAAGCAATTTTGATCCTCTGTCATTAGTGACAGGGAAAATGGAGCAGGGAGAACGACCTTTCCACTGACTAAAGATATTCTCTGCACATCATGGTCCATGCAGTAATGCACACTTTTTTGTAATGGTTCTAAGAGGGGAAGAGGATTTACTGGTTTGGCACGTTATTCAGTTCCGTGGTAAAAGAGTCTAAAAAATCTTGGGTACCTGGTGCAGAAAGAATGTGTCACACACACTTTAAATTAGCAGTTTGTGATTCCAGAAATTTGAGAGACTAAGAACGTCCTGAACCAACTGTCCCATAGCAGGTAGTGCCCATCCTAGTACCAATTTCAGAGCAGGCGCTATCAATAACCCGTCTGGAGTGTCCAGAGCTAGTTCTGTTATGAGCTTGCATTTTGCAGGGTCAGTCTGGAATGAAGTCCAACAGAAAAAACTGTTGGAACTGGCCTATGGGAAGTGCTAGAGAACTGGGTCTGGTTCCAGCAGTTCTGCCTTCTCTGCAATGCACCTATCTGAGAGCACTTTGGTACAATCAGTGCAAAAAACCCCCAAAATAGCCCCCCTCCCCCCCCAATAAAAATAAACACCCCTCACCCCCCATGAAACTCAGCAAGACATACCTCCAGGTACTAACATTTACTGGCCCTATAATCAGCAGTACCTGTGGCTAACTCAAATGGCAGCCAACGTTCATTCAGTAGTGATTTAGTGAGACCCTCCCCCCCCACCTGCCCCACCTTTCTGGGTTTGCATTTTTTCCTGCTTGATCCGGTGAACGGTTACACAAGTGCTGGAGCTCCAAACATTGTTGATCGCTTTAAATAGGAGACAATTATCACGGCCAACAAAGTCAAGAAAAAAAAATTAAACCCAGCTTTCTCCTCTCCCTGTCAGAGACCCCAAGTCAATGAAGGGGACCGTCAAGGGGAAAAATGGTTTGCTAATTTCAAGTGCCTGGCTATTTAGTGCATGGAGAATTCTCATTGCACATGAGCTACACAGAACAGGCAATCGCTCCAAATGGAGCCAGTTCACAGGCTGTTGAATGTAGCCTATTCCCACCAAAGGTCATAAGAACACCTTTGCAAATAACTCTGTGTGTGGCAGTTGGGTTGCCAGCAGGGAGCATGGAGTCCAATCCAGTGAAATCAAGACACAAAATACACCCCTCCCTTCTCAGATCTGAACTTTGCTTCTGGAGCAGCGGGATCCAGAGTGCACTAGATTCCAAGGGCTAGAACTGTCACTACCCAATTAAAACAAAAGCAAATAAAAAAAAATTAAAATGTGCTTTTGATACATGGAATGAAGTCAAATAAATACATTGATTTTTTAAATGTCTAAATACATTTTTATATCCTACATCCAAAGCTCTGTACATTTGGTTTGGTTTTTTGTTGTTGTTCTGAATCAAAAACAAAATTTCCGGTAGCAAGAGGAGGAGGAGAGAATGGAAGAGATTCCCTCACTGACAAACTAGTGCAGATGCCCCACAGGGAAAGCACCCCATCCCCACTCTGCTAGAGCATGGTTAGCACTTGGATGGTCCACAGACAGAACGCTCTCATCTCAGAGTCCGCATGGAAGCTAGTAGGCGCTGATGCTCTCATCCAATTTTCAGCCACTTCCAGAAAATGTGACTAACTTTTGTCTGAAAAGGAAAGAGATGGTAGGGGAAAAACAGGCCACGAGAGAAGTGAGCATCACGAACCCTTCAAAACGCACAGCCAATTCAGACAGCACTGTTTGTGGGGATAACTGTGTGCCACAGTTGACTTGGAGAACACACCTGCAGGCATCACAGGAATCTGCTCAAACCAAATTTAAAAGGAGTTGTGATGGCTGCTTTACACCGTGTCAATGGTATACATGGTGCTTTACACACAAAAGTAAGAGGGGCCTAACCCAGAAGATCTTACAATCTAACTCATAAGAACGGCCACACTGGGTCAGACCAAAGGTCCATCTAGCCCAGTATCCTGTCTTCTGACAGTGGCCAATGTCAGGTGCCCCAGAGAGAATGAACAGAACAGGAAATCATCAAGTGATCCATCCCATTGCCCATTCACAGCTTCTGGCAAACAGAGGCTAGGGACACCATCCTGGCCAACAGCCATAACTCATCTGACTTCAGTCCCTAAACTGATCCGAACCCCTTTGAAAGACAAGCTGAACACCTTATTCATGGGCTTGCAGTGGGGAAAAGGAAAGTGGAGGAGAGCTGCCTCCAACTTCACACATCCTCAGAGAAGGTAATACATGATCAGCAGATTTACGATGTTGTGGAACCAGCAGCTTTCAAAAGGCTGAAGCCATAATGACATCTCTCAAGGCTTTTGTTTGAAAGATTAATAACCGGCTTTGTTCATTGTCCTTGGTGCCAGAGTTCAATGATATTTTAACATACGTTACCATTTAGAAAGAAGCACCGGGAGAAGGGACGATGTGTTGTTCACATACCTGAATGCTCATCTGTGGGGGCTGAGCCAGCCAGCCTTTGGCGAAGGAGAGTGGTGTAATTTTCCTCAACTTCCTGAAAGACAAAACCCACGTGGCCCTTTATTTCTGTTCTTAATGAACCTCCAGAGAGCTCGTCTCTTAGAATAGGAAACGTTTTAGTGGAGCTGACTGGATTGTAATTACACGTTACTAAACACATTCCATCGTCAGCTCTCAAACCATCACTAGCACCGGTGAGAAGTTCCTCCATCAGGGAAAGCTGTACAATTGTTTATTTCTTTTGGATCTTGGTTACATTAGAACGAAGCAAGAAAGTCCCCCGTTGCCACAACAAGCTGGCAGGTCTCTCAGCAAACAGTACTCCAGGCCCCATTTCTTTGGAATAACCCTCAAGATGGGACAGAGAATCCCCAGAATGCAAGGAAAGTGACTTGGAAATTAGTGGGTTTGAAATACTTACTATTGGCCCAATGGGGATTTTGACTCTGTTTTTACATTAGCGTCAATAAGTGATAATTGGGTAAGTATTTCCAGGTCAGTTATTCATATTCCCCAGGCGGTGGGTCCACCTCTCCACTCCCAATTTTTGCAGCCTTATTCTAACACCCACTAAATTAAATTTCCACTTCTCATAACTTTGGAGAATGTCTGCATCTCCAAATTGTCTGCAGCTACATACATTTAACATCTGCCCATATTTATATAGAGCTCCTGGTTTCTCCTGTCCCTTCCCTGGAGATCGTCCAAGGACAGACAGACAGACAGACTCAGGTCTTATCACACAAGCACTTGTATTCACAACCCTGTACTTTTCCTGGTTTGCTTTCTTCCCCCAAGCTTGCTCCTTTTAAAAACAGTGAAGGCGAAATCTGAATAATTCAAATAAAAAAAAAAAGTGTTGTACCTTTAAGTGTTCAAGGTCAGCCTCTATCTTCTGAATGTACTGCATCATTTGGATACGCGACTCTACGGAGAGGTGGGGGCTCGGTGCATCGGAGCACAATTCGTCCACTGGCCCCCAGCGTGAGGCCATAAATTCCTCAGCAAAGGGGGAGCTCCCTTCATCTGACTGGGCATCTCGTGGGGAAATCGGCTGCTGGTGTGCTGAGTCCAAAGAGGAGAGGCCGGCAGTGCACTGTAGAACTAGAGAGGACACGTCCTCATCTGTAGAGCTCTCCTGCACAGTTCCATATCCATCAAGGATCAAATAATTTCCTGTTAAGAGAACAGTTTTGTACTAGCACCGCCAGGTCAATAAAATCGCAAAGAGTCACTGAACTAGAGAGACAATTTAATTGGACATTAAAAAAAGATAACTGATGAAAGCTTCATCTCGTCATGTTTTAAAACCGACTAGATAAAGCATCGGAGGATACCCTGCAGAGCCCACTCTGAACTGGTTTGGACTAGACTGGTTCTGAATGGGGAACACTAGAGGTGTATGTAGGGTCTGCTGTTTGAGAACCACAGGATTAGATAACCAAATAGGGTTTTTCTACCTCTTGTTCTGCGTTTCTCTCATGAGAAGGTATCTTAAAAATATTCATGTGCATGCTACTAATTACTACAATGGAATCCATGCTAGCCATCAATAATACTGCTGGGCGTCTAAATGGAATTCACTATTCAGTTTCAGAGATTTTTTTGCTAGGTTACACTCAAATTTAGATTTCTAATAAAAGGTTCTATAAAATATGCAGTATTATTAATAGAAATAATGGGACACCAATTTTTAAAAAAGGCTCCAGAGTTGACTGTGGCAATTACAAGCCAGTAAGCCTGACTTCAGCATCAGGCAAATTGGTTGAAACTATAGTAAAGAACGGAATAATCAGACACAGATGAACACAATTTGCTGGGGAAGAGTCAACACACCTTTTGTAAAGGGAAATCATGCTGCACCAATCTGAGTTTTTAAAGGGGGTCAACAAACATTGATCCACTGGATATAGTGTGCTTGGACTTTCAGAAAGCCTTTGATAAGATCCCTCACCAAGGCTCTTAAGCAAAGTAAGGAGCCATGGGATTAGAGGGAAGGTTCTCTCACGGACAAGTAACTGGTCAAAAGATAGGAAACAAAGCAGTTTTCACAATAGCGAGAGGTAAATAGCAGAGTCCACCAAGGATCTAAACTGGGACCTGTGCTTTTCAACATATTCATCAACGATTCAGAAAAAGGGGTAAACAGTGAGGTGGCAAAGTTTGCAGATGATACAAAATTATTCAAGATACTTAAGTCCAAGGCTGCCTGTGAAGAGTTATCAAGGGATCTCAAAGAACTGGGTGACTGGCCAACAAAATGGCAGATGAAATTCAACACAGATACACACAAAGTAATGCACACTAGGAAATATAATCCCAACTATCCATACAAAATGAGAGAGTCTAAATTAGCTGTTACCACTCAAGAGATCATGGAGCCATTGTGGATAGTTCTCTGAAAACATCTGCTCAATATGCATTAGCAGTCAAAAAAGCTAACAGTGTTAGGAACCATTAGGAAAGAGATAGATAACAAGACAGTACATATCATAATGCCACTATATAAAAACCCATGGTACGCCCACACTTGAATACTGCATGCAGTTCTGGTTGCCCCATCTCAAAGAAGATCTATTAGAATTGGAAAAGATGCAGAGAAAGGCTACAAAAAATACTGGGGTATGGAACAGCTTCCATAGGAGGAGAGGTTTAAAAGCCTGGGATAGTTCAGCTTGGAAAAGATAACTGATGGGGGTATGATAGAGGTCTATAAAATCATGAATGGTGGGGAGAAAGTGAGTAAGGACATGTTATTTACCCCTTCACATAACACAAATCAAGGGCCAGTCACCCAATGAAATTCAGAAGCAACAGTTTAAAACACAAAAAACAAAAACAAGTCCTTCACACAACACACAGTCAACTTGTGGAACTCGTTGCCAGGGAATGTTGTTAAAAAGGTCAAAAGTATAACTTGGTTCAAAAAAGAATCAGAAGTTCATGGAGGATAGGTCCATCAATGGCTATTAGCCAAGATGGTCAGGGATACAGGGATGCATGCTCCAGATGTTCCTAAACATCTGGCTGCTAGAAGCTGGGACTGGACAACAGGAGATGGGTCACTTGATAAAATTGCCCTGTTCTGTTCACTTCCTCTGAAGCATCTGGCTCTGGCTGCTGCTGGAAGCCAGGCTACTGGGCTAGATGGACCATTGGTTTGATCCAGTATGGCCAATGTTCTTAATTATTTTCACGATTTGCATGTGCCACTGGAATTTTGTCCTTAATTTCTCTGCAGTGTTGCAGCTATGCTAGTGCATGAAAACCAGAAGTATAACTTGATCAGAATGGGTAGATCTAGTTTCAAAGTCCCTGCTTAGTTAAGCAAAAAGTGAACAGTACAAGAAGTGAAAAATAAATTAGATTTTTGAAGATGTTGGTTCACTTAATTTAAAGTGCTTTAACAACATAGAAAAGAAGGGAATATGATTTTCAATATATGACTGGATGGCATCATTCAGCCAGTCAGAAACAAGCTCATCATACAAAATCCAATTTTTAAATGAAGTATATTTATGGATAACGTATTCCAAGTCTGACAGCTGCAACAGGCACATGACAAATTAACTGCACCTTCATTCATAAAGTGCAGCACCACTATTTCAGATGCCCAGCAGGATCCCAGGGCCATCCATCACAGAACCTGCAAAGCTCCAGGAAAGCATGTGCAGCTGCCATTCTAGTGAGACCCAAACGCATACAACCTCTCCTTATGGCTAAAAAAAGATCTGTTTCAAGGTGCCGCTCAGGAAACCATTACTTTATATATTGATATATAAACAAGAAAAGCTTTTAAGAGCTTCAGACCTGGCGACAGGGAGTTTGTGGAGACTATTACCAAGCAAAGCCAAACTGCAGAAAGTTCCTTTTTGAAGCTCGAGCAAGAAAAACCAAAACAGTGGCCGTAGAGTGACACGTCTCACACGACTGTAAAATCGCCCTTGCACAGTTATCCCCAGGGGTCCCACATTTAAAGTGACAACCCTGTATATGTTGCATTGTTGAGACTCATTGTAGAGCACCAAACCATCATTCCTATGTTCTTTGGAAACAAAATGTTTTGTCTCTGTATTTTTTCGTATCAAGAGGAGACAGATAATGAGACATTCTAGTCCACTGATGATTTCTGTAGGTGATCCAGAAGGATCTCTGTATACATGTAATCATGCCTCATAGGTTATTTCTATACAACCAGGGGTGTCATCTGCAGCTTGGGTAGATGTTCCTGTGATAGCTTTAAGCTACCTCACTATAAACAGCGGTGAAGACACAGCGGCATGGGCTTCAGGCGAGAGCTGTACAAGGCAGCCTGACCCCCTGGGTACATACACACTTTGCTAGCCTATGCTGACACCCGCACCTCTGTGTCCTCACTGCTATTTGTAGAGTTTTAGCTAGATTTCAAATTACATCCCCAGTTGCCATGTAGAATGTAGCAGAGTCAGTACTTTGGGCGTACAGTGGAAAAACATTTCAGGGAGGGATATATTCAAGAAGGTTATTTTATAGGTTTGGGTATGCAGTCAAGTCCTCGTGGTGTTCTGGAGAGAGACAGAGGGTTGATAATGGGAAACAAGGATATATTGACAGACTTGGGAGAGGAGTTATGCACCACTACTTGATGGGAGTCTAAAGTGGGAGACTGGGAGGATACAGCTTTGGAGAGGTCCTTGGTACATGGATGCTGTATGCAGACTGTAATGGAACGGTCTCCCTTTTGATGCACCTGGGCTAGAGCCAGGAATTCTCAATTTCTTCAGCTGTAGCCTATGATAAGCTATTCATTTAGCAGTATCTCAGTTTCTCTTTTAATCAGCCACCCTTCAGGGTGTTGAGGTAATAATTTAGTTCATGTCTGTACATCACTTTTAAAGTGTAGAGGACTAACTATTTTGATACGTCCAAAGCCAAAAGGACTTCTAAAGACCAGAAGCGCTATGTTTAAAGTGTCTCTTACTGAGTCAGCAAGGGAGATTCCACCACGAAAGCATAATTGTGCTTCTTTTTAATCACATATTTACTATTCATTTCTGGTCTCTGAACACAATCAAGTCTCTGGCATTTGAGCTGAACTGGCCATAACTCAACGTACTGTGTAAAGTGGGATAAGCTCACCTGAGATCCGTAAGTGCACCTCCTCATCCTCCTTCCTCTCCATTACTTCACCTTCCAATGGATTCTCATCGCTGTGGGCGTCACGAGCATCAAAGAAATGCTCTCCACTGTTATCAGCACCCACCCCTTCCAGCTCCGGGGTAGGGGTCTCCAGGTTCATGTTCACATGGTCCATTACTAAATTGTTACTAAACCTGGCGTCTCTAGACCCCAGCTGCACAGCATCCTGTGGAGCTGGAAACTCGGTTGAAGTCCGGAGGCCATAACAAGCTGCAGATTCACTAGTTCCTGTTCCGGGAGGCATCTGGTCTGTTCCAGGCTGCTGCATCTTGTCGTCAGAATGCTGTAGTCCATGCTGGATACCACTCTCTGCCTGGGCCCCCCGGGAAACGGTCCTATACCTGGGAAAACATCGCCAGTCTTCAAGGGTCCCCTTCTCAGACATGCCCAGCTGCTGCACCAACAACTGCTTCAGCAAGCCCACTGAAAGGAAAGGAAACATGGAACATTCACTGAACTGTATAAGCCATCTCCGTTGTACACTCAATGAGACGGATGTTATGATGCCTCTTTCTGAAAGAGTTTACTCTATGACCAGCTCTCTCACTGTTACTGTTGCAAAGGCGGGGAGAGAGATACAAAGAAATGGTTGGAGCTCTGTTATACTACTTTGCGCCTTACATCACAGGATCTCAAATCATTTCACAAAGGTGAATAAGTACCATAGTATTATCCCCAATTTATGGATGGGGAAACTAAGGCACAGACTGGTTAGTAGCTTAGCTAAATCATCCATCAAGTGGCAGTCATGAGGAGAACCCAAATCCCCTGATTTCCAGTCCCAACTGCTACATAATGCCGGTAATGCTGAGCGGGCTGCCCCCACTCCCAATCTGAGGTTAAAGGTGTATTGCGAATGTTCAAGTTATCAGAACATTAACATCACAGGCTGAAGCAAAGATCCTACTGCAGATTCAAGGGAAATTACCTTTCCATGGCATAACCTTCTAGTCTAAATGCTAGGATGCAAACTCTCCCTACAAGTTCATACAAACATTCAGAATCTCTAAATTATCTGGGAGATTCTTATTTGGTCTTTGTCCTATGATGCTTTAGTTCTCACTCAAACTACTTAAACACCACTACTTAAGAACTAGCAGGTATAATGCAGTCCAAGTGCTTCATGTAGCTATAAGTGGACACTCGCATAACACCCACAGCGTGAGAAATGCTATCAGTTCCTAAAACAAAGCAGCCACACATTTGAATGGAAGGCACTTGCAGGAACATGAAGTGACCCATTACTATTGCTAGAGGGCGTCTCATTAAATCTTAGCAGTCAGGACAGACATTAGATCATTGATGTTATCTAATGCGCCATCCACCCCCCCTAGAATGAGCTTCCATTAACAACAATCTAAGAGCCCAAGCACTAGAAATACTTGAAAGCACCCAGCCCTAGAACAATGCTTTGAATTCTGTAAAAATCTGATATAATATGGATCAAAAGACCCAGGATAAACCTGTTAGACTGAAGAGACCTGTGTAGAGGCAAAACTCAGTCAAATCACCTATATGCCTTGAGCTAAGAGGGCCAATAAAGAAGTGATATAGACCACTCCCAGTAGCACAGTTCAGTTTTATTTAGAGGCACCACATCCATCTCAGAGTTACCAAGGAAGCATGTTTATGTGTCACCTGAACATCAGTAAGGTAGCTGGGAGATCATACTTAGGAACATACGAATGACCATACTGGATCAGATCAGTTGTCCGTATTAGTCCTGGCTCTGATACAGGCCAATATCAGGCTTCTCAGAGGAAGGTGCAAGATATCTCAAAGTGAGAAAATATGGAATAACCTGCTCAAAGGGGAAGTTCTTCCTAAATCCCTCAGCTAGAGGTTGGTTTACAGCCTAAGGCATAAGGTTCTAGATCACTTCCACACTCTTCTTTTTCCCCCGAACCTTACTAATTTTAACTCTATGTGTTCTTGTTATCCAAATATACAATCCCTTTCTGAATACTGCTGAAAAATGATGGCCTAGATAATATCTTGTGGCAATGAGTCCCACTGGTTAACTGTATGTTTATAAATAAATAAATAAATAAATAAATAAATAAATAAATAAAAACACCCTTTGTGCCTGAAACAATAATACTTTGCATATCATGCATAAAGCACCCAAGTGTTACTCCATCTCCCCAAAGCACTTCATGGACAAGAATGAAGAACTCCTCATAAATCAGTATTATTATTCCAGTCTGATAGATGGGCACACAAAGGCAGAGGAGGACTTGCTCACAGAAAGAGCCAGCATCTGCAATATAACTGAAGCTCAGAAATTCTTGATTTCTAGCCCATTCTGCTTTGCAGCCCAGATGGGAACATAAGAGCTTCTACTACAAACAGACAGAAAATACTATTTTAGCCCATGGGATCAAATTGTCCACCTGAAAATTCCCAGATCCAAATCAAGACTCATCAGGGCCACTTCTGTCCATAGCATCATAGTTACTTACAGTTTCTTAATGCATCCAATGCCCACCGCTCTTCTGAGATCTGGAAAGGGAGTGGTGGTCCGTAACGCGCAGAAGATTCTTCTGCCCGTTGATCTTTCTCAAAATGTGTTTCAGTCCTAAGAAGATCTTCTACCTCGGACTTCTCAGCCATGATTGCTGAAGGAGACTGAGTCTTCAGCATCAAGGGAGACTCAAGTCCCAAATCTTTATCTAGCCAACAGAAAAGACAATCAAGTTAGATGTCCCACTACATATTCTGAACTACCCACAGGGTGAAAAACTAAACCACATGGCACTCTCTTTCACAAGGACAAATTTGAGGATGTGTATCTGTCGCATGGGCTATTATTTTTAAGTATCTGAAACTCTGCAGAATCTCCTTTCCCTGCAGTTTAAGGGTAGCTGGGAAAGACTAGCAGGTATACCTCAATAGACCGGGTTTCACTCTCTCACAGGGCTTCTAGTGAAGGCTTTTCTGAGCCAAGAAAAACAAAAACAAAAAAACCACACATCAACTTTCACTGCAGCAGAAAGATCCCTATAATGTGAAGACAAAGCCTATCCCTCTTATACTGCGTCCAGCACGCTGACTTATGCTGTTACCTGGACTCTGCATACCGCTGGCAGGGATATCACGCTGTTCTTCTTTCAGTTTCTGCTGCTCTTCTTCCTCACGCTCCTCGCTGCAGGAAGGGGAAAAAGGACCAAATTCTGTGAATCCCATGCATTTCTACCACTCTAACAGCGTCAACGCTTTGGTGATCCCGTTCAGGAATGGACAAAAGCCACTGAAAAACCAAAGCCGAAAGTGATTTTTACTTACTCGCCAGGTCCTGATTGTGGTAATGGAATCGGCCTTTTAGATGCCTCGACTTTTACTGTCCCTGCCATCCGAGCTATCAGGTCCTGCCATCTGCGAGAGGCCAAAAATGAGAGACAAGACACTTGAAGCATAAAAGGATGCTATCTCATGTAAGGTTTTTTAACCCAGCTAATATAACTGTGGATAGTCTTAAAGGAATAGACATTTTTTAAAAATCCTGCTACATTGTTTGCCTCAACATCTTGTGGCAGTGAGTTGAATTCCACAGGTATCTGGTGAGGTCACCATAGTTAACAAGGCAGATGCTCCAGCCCTGAGAAATGAATGCAACAACCTCAGCAGAAACCATACAGATGCAGAAGTGGGAGATTCAATCCAACAACAACAAATGAAGCCAGAAGTAGAGCATTGTATGCAATGGCCTAAAGCGAACCTATTCCGCAGTGAATTGCGGGTGCCTGGGATTTTGTCATTTTACGCAGAACATCAGAAAAGAGATTTTATTTTTTTCCGTAAAGTTCTCAAGGTAACAAAATACACTAAAGTTTGGGGGAGGGATTCCTGCAGTCTGAATGTGGTTCTTTACTACAGGATTTCTATTGGAATGAAACCAGTTCTATGAATATAGCCCTAGAAGAGTGCTTTGTCTCCAGACTTTTTTTTAAAACTGAAAATGCATTGAACACACACACATTGCTGAAAGGCAGCTCTAATTTCGGCACTTCAGATTTAATATTCCACTCAATGAACAAAAGCTTGGTGACACCAAAGAAGTCTTTGTTATCCTAATTGCACCTCACTTGAAGGAAGGGCCCACAAATTTCTTTGTCCACATTGAACATTTAAAATTTCTAATTAATGTTTTACCTTTAAAGGGAATTGCAGTGCTCGTTAAGAGATGCCAGACTGAATCCTGGGAACTGAAATTCTCTCTCTATTGCCAAAGAGCAAGTACAGCACGGACAGCAGCAGTGAAAACTACCTCTCTACACGCACCATTTATAAAGTCGGTTCTGGATGATTTTCTCTAGGGGGCAGGGGTGAGTTCACCCCAGGGCTCAATCAATCCTCTGGCCTCTGTGCAGAGACAGCAGATAACAGTGGCCAGTTACTGCCAAAATTGCTGGTAGTTCACATGTTGCAACACCTGTCCACAATGAACTTGGGTGAGACCCACCAACTAATCTCACATAACGCAGGCCACTCAGCCATTGTATGGCAAGTTTTGCTTACTGGAGATGAGGGATCAGTTTCAAATACCTAACATAGCGACAGAAGGCAGATAATCTCATTACCAACCACTAAGAAGCCATCAAGTCTCTCAGGGCAGTATTTTCCTGAACTACAATGGTTACAAGACATAATATGGGGGTACCAGAATGTTACTGATGCAGCTAGTTTCAAACTTTCACGCACGCGAGCAGTTTGTATCACCACCTTTGTACCAAAGCTAGCAATCCTGGATTTTACCACTGACTATGCATTTTATATTGCTGATGTACATGGTACTGTGCAATATGTACAAAATACCATACAAACAAATCCACACCCTGAGGTGTTCACAGTCCAGAGGCAAAGCACTCCTATCAAAGGCAGAATGAAGAACAGTTCAGACAGGGACTTGAATTCATAAATTATAGTGCTTTTGAGTTTTCTGCTACTCTGTAACATGTCCCAGAATCCTGAGGGTACCCAGGACAGATGTTAGGTTCTAGGACTCTGCACAGAGATGCAGGACTATGTCATTGATTCATCTGACAGTTAAACCATGTGGGTCTCATTAGCCCCAATAAAGGATTTTTAAAAAAAGAAGCACTTGTAAGGCAAGAGAAGGGCTAGGAGTGAGAGATGAGACATAACCGGAAAAATCTCTAGAAACAGCCTGAGCTGGCAAAGAGTTATTGTTGTTCTTTTTAAGAATTAAGGAAAATTCCCAATGGGGCGACAGGTGAGAGTTTTGCACATTAGCTGTGTGTGTGAGCTGAGCTCAAGATAATTCACAAGCCCCTCTAGAGTGAAACTACTACTCAGATGTAAGATTTCTCTCTCCACCACAGCAGAGATAACCGAGTCCATCACTTACACAGTCTTTTCAGAAACAGTCTGTGCCACCAATTCATAAATCTGAGCACCGTTTTCTGACATGGAGATGACGAAGAAAGCTTTGTTATCTGGAGAGACACAAGAGGAGAGTAATTTAATCTGATGCCTCGTCCTGAACAATTGTATCTCAAGTTCACTGAAACCAGGCAGATACCCATACGTTTTTATTACCCAATAAGGTATACTGCAGGAAGATTCTGTGAAGTAAACCAGCAGGCAAACTGCATAAATACAAAGAAGTTTCATTCTCGAACACAAATGGGACTCTGCCTTCCAGGCCTGACAAAAAATAGTTATTACTCCTCACACCTCTTTAAAGTCGGTTTATTTCCCCTCCCTCTTCCCGGGTTACCTGGCATTTCTAAAGCACTTTCCTTCTGGGGATCTCAGAGTACTTTACAAACATTAACTAGAGCTCACACCACCTCTGTAAAGATACTACCCCACTTTACAGAGGGGTAACCGATGTAGGCAGGTTAAACAGCTCATCCAAGGTAACACTGCAAATCAAAAGTGCAGCCGAGAATTAAAACCAGGAGTCGCGACTCCCAATGTCCTGCTCCAACTCCTAGACAAAACTTCCTTCCTCAAATGGCCTTGCCTTTGCATTCAGCTTACTCTTAAGTTTTGCCCATTGGTTGCACTGACCTGTCGCCACCTGGCGAACCAACACAGTGTTCAGCTTGATAACAGGGCTGAATGTGTGTTTGCTGTCAGAAGTGGATGCCAGGATCTTACTGTGACACCTCAGCACCAGTTTATCATCTTGCTTTTGCAACAGCACTAGAATATCCTCCAAGAGTAGCGTGTAGAGATCTGTAAAGGGCAAAAACAAGCCTGGAATGGGTTAACGAGTCACTCCCTCACATCACACCTCATGGCACATAGGAAAAAAAAAAAAAGGCTGTATTTTCTATTATATATGCAGAGGCTGTGCCAGCCTAAGCAAAGCTTGCAAATCTCTCTCATCAGAACCACAGCAGAGGGCTACAGATGGGACTGGCTCATCTCCCAACAGACTGCGGGGCCCCAGCATGGTCCTAATGATACTCAGACACATTTCAGATTTGACAAGAATAACTGAATCCGCTTGAGGAGCAGACATGAAGTCATACAGGCAGCGGTACAACTCATAATTGGGAATCACAGCTATGCCACATCTTTTCCCTCCCTTGGTCACAAACCCAAGTTTAAGTTGGCTGGTGGGATAAGGCTCACCAATAGTCTTGTCCCGATTAACTTTCCAGGTCAGAGGTCCTTCGTGAATCATCTTCTTCTTGGTTAAATCCAAATTCTGTCAATATGGGGGGAGAAGAAAAAAAAGTAGCTTTCATATGGGGTTCACTGCACGGGGAACTTTGGAGGTCAAGGTAAAAGGCACTCCTGTCAGAAGACCAGCAGCTGAATTCAAAGACAAGTAAAATGAGATTTAGAATCTGTGGTATGTGTGAGAACCTAGAACCTGTGGGTTGTTTCACTCTTCAGCACTCACTGACCTCGTGCCATATGAAAGAAACGTCTGTTTTCCCTGCTGTGAAAGGATAGGATTCTCCCACCCTGTATCAGGCACAGGGGGATGTCAGGACTGTAAAGGGTGAGGGAATGGAAGCTTTATGTGTAGGCACTGGAACCAGGGAGCCAGAAGGCCATGCCCCCTCCTACTTTTTAACATGGGCGTAGTTTGAAGGGTCAGCCTGCCCCCCCGAAACTGCAAGCAGGCATGGAGCAGCGCCAGCTGGGGCTGTGCTTCACAGCGGGGGAGCTTATCACTGTTATCAGCTCTCCAGCCTCAAAATGCAGCCCCAGCCAGCACTGCTCCACACCTGCCTGAGGCTTGCAGTTTGGGGGAGCACACCGCCCCATCCCCTAAACTATGCCCACGTTAAAGAGTGAGGTGCATGGCCTCCAGTGCCAGTGCCCCCCTCCCGTCCTGTACCCTTGGTGAATGTGATAACATGGGATCTCCTGCCTGTGGCAAGAGGGCGTTGGGAAGGTGAATGGTGTTCCCAGGGATAAGTGGGGCAGTGAAAGCTTCTGGGTAGTCTAGGTAAAGGACAATAGGGGAGAGGCTGTGGTCACTAGCAAATGCCAGGGTATTTGATGACTGGAGTTAGCCTCTAAGTAGTGGGTGGATGTATAGGATTTTTAGTAGAGGGGACAGTTTCTAAGTCTATATGGAAAGTTGGGTTGGATCCTGTGGCCTATGGTTTTGAAAATTAGATACAGCATGAAAGTAAAAACTTGAGACTTTCTGACACGCAAGTATCTTCAAGCTATAATGTTCTAATGAGGTTTTGTTTGGATGAGGGATTTGTGTGTACAGCCTTACACAACCTTAGACATTTTCGGGGGAGGATTTTCTTTTAAATGAAGTTCTGAGGCATTATCATAACAATGATTGTTTCCAGCAGTATTTTGGCAACAATTCATACAAATGTTTGGAATTTATATTTTACTTTGTTAATGCTTCAAAATGTGGACTGTACGTTAAGAGTGCCTGCAGCACACTCTGAAGCATGAATTGTTTTGATGATCTGCTGGACTTTATAACGTCACTGAGTTATTCACTCATGTCAGGGCTCCTGACAGATCCGCAGGCAAGCTAGTAGAGATAGTAATTTTCATTAGCCATTCCTTCCAAGTTTCAGAGTTTATATCAAGATGGCAGATTTTATATTTCCATGATTCCTTTATTTCTTAAAGAGTTTGCAAGCCTTTTTTAGTGGCTGGCAGACCATACAAAAGAACTTTAGAGTGAACTCCATGATCCTTGAAACAAAAATACCTCTTTGGATATTATAACATGTTAGAACTTCCACATGGTCACTAACACTGCAAGAAACAGTATATACTACTATGAAAAGATGAACGTTGAGTGTATATCCTGACAATTTTTTGTACATTTATACCAAAAGGTGTAGCCCTGTCATAGAATCATAGAATATCAGGGTTGGAAGGGACCTCAGGAGGTCATCTAGTCCAACCCCCTGCTCAAAGCAGGACCAATCCCCAGTCAGGTTTTTGCCCCAAATGGCCCTCTCAAGGATTGAACTCAGAACCCTGGGGTTAGCAGGCCAATGCTCAAATCACTAAGCTATCCCTCCCTCCCTAAATATCTGTGCCCCTTCCCCCTAAACAAAACTATATCAGAAAAGTTACAAGCTCCACTCTGAGACCTGCTGGAATTTAAACAGGACATGAAGCATAGCACTTTAGCACTGGATTTAGAAGCTCGGCTACCTATACCATTGGATCTTCATAGCTACAAGTTCCACTTGTGAAGCCAACAGAATTTCTAAGCTTTGGTTCTCCCAAAGGACTTCCTTGTTCTGCCAGCAGTACTCTGAAGTAGGAGATAATGTAGAGCTACCCCACCACGAGGTGTACATACTCTATTGGTTGTTTCAGAAGGGGATATAAATGCCGTGAACCAGTTCTCTCTCATGTGACATACAAGTGAAAAACCTAGTATTCCATGGCAGTTTTGTTCCATGACATTTACAAGTTCCACAGACACTCTCCGTTTTGCAAGATCAAGTTATTAAATTCATGGAGACCTTCCAAGAGCAACCAGAGGTTCAGGTTTTCATATCTAATAAATGTTCCACTTAACCTTTATATAAAATAAATTCACCTCTCACCAGAGACTCTTCATGAGAAGTTTCAAGTGGAATGAGTTTTTTTGACTTTACAATAAAGTTATAGCAGGAAGCGTCACCAGCTTAACTACAGGGGGTCAGGATCATGGCTCAATAAATCACTTTCGCTCCGTCACTCACCCTGATCTCATCCAGCATAGGGTACTCTGACTGCTTCAAGTAGGACAGGTCAAGGCGACGCTGATAATCTTCCAAACGCTGGAAGACATGTGATGAAGTCATGGTTATACTAGTTTGGGACAACTTGGAAGAGTCCAAGTACATGCAGGTGACCTCCAACCACAGTGCTAGCGATTCTGGATGGTTTCTCTTCATCTCCCCATCATCCACCCTTGTCCAGCCTTCTCATTCCCTCCTCCTACCTGCTTATTCTCGGATTCTTTGACCGCCTGGTTCACATAGTTAAGGATCTGACGGCAGTGATCCGCTGCTTTCTTCACTTTCTCCTTCTCCTCAGGCCGTTCTACAACAGGGCAAAGAAATAAAGACGAGGTGAGCTCCAGGGGAGGGGTAAAAGGAGAATTAATTAAGAACATAACATAAGAATGGCCATCCTGGGTCAGACCAATGGACCATTTAGTCCAGTATCTAATGCAACACATCGGCCCCCCAAAATCAAAGAGGGGAGCTGGACTTTATAAAACATTCAATTAGCTTCATCGCTTCACAGATTAATGATGGAAATAGCTTCACGTCAGAGAGATCTAGGTTTGGATCACATTGGACACAGGTCCATGATACGGATCAAACAGTAGAGGCGGCATTCTATAACCTTCCCCGCCCAAAACAGGGACACAAAGACTTTCCAGAAAAAGTTTCTCCACTTCATCAATTCCTGCCCAAAGGGAATTCTGAGCTGTGAGAGAAGTTTGCTAGAATTCCATTCTAGTTCCCAGAGAGGTTGGTCAGGGCAGACTGAGGGTCGGGGGAAGAAACAGGAAAGATGCATTTTTTTTCCATGTGCTGTCTAATGTTTAAAGAGACGGAGGAGCTGGCTCAGTGGTGAATGCATAACATCTGATAAAACTACTCATACTTTGAAACCAATGTGAAAAAGCGATAAATTGTTAACGGCAAGTAAACATGACTAAATAATTAGAGAGAGTAAAAGAAAAACTGCAGCTTCTAAGCTGCAGCCTTTTCTATAAAGGACAAACATTTTAAAAATAGGGAGGGGGAAAAAATTCGGTGCAAACATGAAAGTAATACTATGGATCAGGTCTCACTGCAGCCAACATCTGTTATTAAACCTTTGTTAAGAAGGGTGCATGTGGGATTACCACCAAGCTTTTGTGCAGTTTTCAGGCCGAGCTGGGTGAAAAAATGGATTTTTCTGTTTGCTGACAATCAAAAAAAATTGTTCTGGGTCAAATCCAAAATGGAATTTTTTGGAAATTCTCTCTGAATCAGAGAAATGCAGGACTGGAAGGGACACTCATGGCATCCTCTAGTCCATCCCCCCATGCTGAGACAGGACCAAAGTAAACCTAAACCATCCCAACAGGTGTTTGTTTAACCTGTTCTTAAAAACCTCCAATGATGGGGATTCCACAAACTCCCTTGGAAGCCTGCTCCAGCCCTTAACTACCTTTACAGTTAAAGTTTTTCCTAATATCTAACTTGAATCTGCCTTGCTGTACACTCAGCTTACTTCTTGTCCTACCTTCAATGGACATGGAGAACAACTGATCACAGTCTTCTTTATAGAAGTCCTCAACATATTTGGTGACTACTATGAGGTCCCCCCGTCAGTCTTATTTTCTCAAGACTAAACATGCCCAGTTTTTAACCTTTCCTCATAAGTCAGGTTTTCTAAACCTTTTATCATTTTTGTTGCTCTTCCATGGACTTTTTCCAATTTGTCCATATCTTCCCTAAAGTGTGGTGCCCAGAACTGGACAGTACTCCAGCGGATATCTCACCAGTACTGATTAGAGCAGGACAATTACCTCATGTGTCTTACATATGACACTCCTGCTAATATACTCCAGAATATTAGCCTTTTTTGTAATTGGGGACTCATTCAATTGGTCATCTACCATAACCAAGATCCTTTCCAGCAGTACTACCACCTAGCCAGTTATTCCCCATTTTGTAGTGCTGCATTTGATTTTTCTTTCTTAGGTGAAGTAATTTCCATTTGTCTTTATTGAATTTCTCCTTGCAGATTTCAGATCTCTAATTTGTCAAGGTCTTTTTGAATTCTAATCCTGTCCTTCAAAGTGCTAGGAACCTCTCCCAGTTTGATGGCATCTGCAAATTTTATAGGCATACTCTCCACTCATTAATGAAAATATTGACTAGTACTGGACCCAGGATGGGACCCCAGTAGATACACCTTCCAGTTAGACAGCGAACCACTGATAACGACTCTGAATAGTCATAGAATCATAGGAGATTAGGGTTGGAAGAGACCTCAGGAGGTCATCTAGTCCAATCCCCTTCTCAAAGCAGGACCAATCCCCAACTAAATCATCCCAGCCAGGGCTTTGTCAAACTGGGCCTTAAAAACCTCTAAGGATGGAGATTCCACCACCTCCTAGGTAGCCCATTCCAGTGCTTCACCACACTCCTAGTGAAATAGTTTTTCCTAATATCCAATCTAGACCTCCCCCACTGCAACTTGAGACCATTACTTCTTGTTCTAGTCTTTCAACCAGCTGTGCACCCACCTTGCAGTCATTTCATCTAGACCAAACTTCCCTAGTTTGCTTATGAAAATATCATGTGGGACTGGGTCAAAAGCCTTACTAAAATCAAGAGACATATCTACAGTTTTGCCTCTATCCACTAGGCCAGCAACCCTGTCAAAAAGGCAATTGGGTTGGTTTGGCATGACTTGTTCTTCTCAAATCCATCTTTCCAGGTATTAAAGTTAGGCTAACTCCCCGGGTCCTCTGTTCCTCTTTTAAAAAAGAAAGCTACTATATTTGCCCTTCTCCAGTTCTCTGGAACCTTACCCATCTCCATGAATTCTTCCAGAGAATTGCTACAGTTCCAAGATTGAGACAGCTAGTTCCGTAAGTATCCTTGGATGAGTTTCATCTGCCCAGCTAACTTGCAAAAATCTAATTAATCTAAATACTCTTTAACCTGTTCTTTCCCTATTTTGGCTTACATTCCTCCCTCTTGCTAATATTAGCCGGATTAAGTATCTGATAACCATTTACCTTTTTAGTGGAGACAAGAGAAAGCGGTATTAGAACACCTCAGTCAATTCTTGCTGTCGTCCCCTATTACCTCTCCTTCCCCACTAAGTGGACAACCTACATTTGCCTTCATTTTCTCCTGCTCATAATGTACTTACAGAATCTCATTTTATTGCCTTCTATGTTCCTTGCTAAGTGTAACTCATTTTGTTTCTTAGCCTTGCTGATTTTGTCCCTACATGTTTCTTCTATTCTTTTGTACTCATCCGTAGCAATTTGTCCGTTTTTCTACTTTTGTAGGATTCATTTTTGATTTTCAGGTCATTAAAGAGCTATTGATGGAGCCTTTTTGGCCTCTTACTAATCTTCCTATCTTTCCTTCGCATGGGGATAGTTTGCTGTTGTGCCTTTAATCTTCTCTCTAAGAGATTCTCTCCTGAATTCATTTTTTCCCTTAGATTTTCTTCCCCTGGGACCTGATCTACCAGTTCTTTGAGTTTGTTAGTCTGCTTTTTTGAAGTCCATTGTCCTTATTCTGCTGCTCTCCCTCCTTCCTTTGCTTACCATGATGCAATCTATCATTTCATGATTACTAGAACCCAAAGCGCCTTCAACCTTCAGATTCACAACCAATTCCTCTCTGTTAGTCAGAATCAAATTTAAAGTGGTCGTCCCTTGGTTACTCCCTCCACCTTCTGAAACAAAAAGTTGTCCCCAATACATTCCAAGAACTTCCAGATTAATTTTCCAACATCTGTGTAGTTCAAGTTCCGCATTACTACCAGATCTTGTGTTTTGGATATTTATATTTGTTCCAATTTGAAAAAATTCATTTAAATTTCAGGCATTTTGACAAAAGCAAAGAGGACAAGATTCACAAGACAGGGGAGGAGCAACTCCCTTATAACTAAGCATATCACTAGTGTCAGGCTACTCTCCTGGGATGTGGGAGACCTGGGTTCTGTCTGATGTGGAGAAGGGACCTGAACTTGGATCTCTCACATCCTAGTAGAGTCCCTTAGCCACTGGGCTATGGGATATTCTGTATGAGTCTTTCTTAATTCCTCCCACTGAAGATGTTCTAAGTTGTATAAAAGAAAACAATAGTCATTGGAGCAGAGATTCAAACTGGATTCTCCCACATCCTGACTAGAGTGCTATAGTTATCACGCTAGAGAGTCCACTGCCCAAAACCAGAATGAAATTTTTCTAATCAAGCAGAAAGAAAAAGGTTGTGTTTCGACACGACCATTTTGGTCACATTTTTTGGTTTGGTCGTAACTAGTTTCGGGTCAATCAAAACTGCATTTTAGTGATGTACAGGTGAGCAAGGTTCTGCTGCGTGTATCAACGTTACTACAACCCTTTGAAGATTTAAAGGGTGATAAGAGTAGCAATATTAGATTCAAAGTCTATCAACATCCAGTGTGAAGAGAGAACCTCTAACATTCACACTATTTCCAGAACCTAGGTATTAGCATGACAAATATATTAAAAATGCTTAAGACAGAATGTTTAAGCTTGCAGGCATCAAACCTGTTTTGAACCTTATTTCCCAAGTGCATGCGCTTTTCTCATAGGGAGTGGATATTAGAAAAGGCATGAGAAAGGGTGGAGGACACATGCTGAGAACAGTCACTGACCCATGGCACTGAACGATCCACTATGCATACATTTTTAAGAGTCAGATTTGTTTGGCAAAACCGCCAAGATGCACGCACAAAGATAATGGCTCCCTCGTGGAAATGCTCTACCTGAGTACTTAGCGATATTATCCAGCAGAAGGGGGTACTTAGTCAGCCTCTGCATCTCAGTGGGAATGATATCTTTCAGCTGCAACCGGCGACACAGTGGATTGCTCTCAGCATCCTAAAATTGAACAGCGTAATAATGGCATTTGTCATTTTTATTAAGACTATAATTACCTGAACATGTACCATCTATTCATCATATAAATGTCTATTACTTCACATTTCCGGTAATTAAATACAAGACAAGAAATGCCTAGATTTATCACTTAGACTACACAGCCCAGTTTCATTTGCAATTACATATAAGAAAGGCTCATCACAAAAGCAGTGACTTCCTTCCCTCATTACTTCACACAGGCTGGTACCATCCATAATCAATCTCAGTCACTGCCATATAGGGAAGACATCAGCTTAGTCTTTCACACTACGTAGACACTACATTTTTCAAAATTACATCAGTCTTTGTATTACCAGAGTTCCCATCCAGCGGTAAGGCAGATAATGCTCTCCTCTTCAGATGGCACACATGCTGAGATCCTTCCCAGTGGGATAGGTATACCACATGTCTCTTGCGTTCAGGGCGCACACCCAACTGTTTACTGGGCCCTGCTGTGCTACACAGAACCCCTGTTCCCAATCGGATATGTGCACAGTGTAACAGGTATGGGTATCTAAGTCCTGTAACTGAACATGCTTCTCTCTACCAGCACATTATCTTTAATCCTCAACATTAAAGGTTCACCTGTCCAGAAGTGATTAACAGAGACAATCTGGTGTTGGAAATAATCCCAATACAACAGCAATGTTAGATATAATCCTGCTAATTGCATTAACCTTACTTACAGCCCCCGGTTATCCTTCACTAACCATCATCCCAACTTGGGACCAGTTCCAATTTTTGAGTGAAACTCACCTGCACAAAGGTTTGGAAGCGAGAGTCTTTCTTCTGCCGTGATTTGATCACCTCTAGAGCAAAAGGCTGGTTACTACAAAAGGTGGCAGTTGCGTGTTTCAGGTTCTCCTCACCTGCTCCACTGAACTGTGCCAAGAAACCCAGGAAGCCAAATTTAGACAGAGACAAACTAGGCACGTGAGCTCTGGCACATGCTGGAATTGCTCTCAGAAAGCAAAAAGCTGCCCATACCCCCAAAATAGCCATGTTTACACCTCCTTGTCTCTAATGGATACAGACTGCCTTTAAGGCTTCTTCACCCCAACCCGCCGAGGAACCCTTTGCAGCTGAGAAGATCTCCGGTTAGGCCTGCTTTTACACAGCCCACTTTTCACAATCACTGTCTTTCTATCAATACCAAAGGCAGAAAGTACTGCAAGGCACTGAGGTCACTGCTGACTCAGAAGAGGACACAATGCCATTGCTTTGTCCATCAAGCCATGGAGTCAAAACCAGCCTTGGTGTAAGCAGGTACAACTACACCGATTTAAATAATGAGGGATGAATTGGGCCTATTTTACTTTGCCATTGGCCTGTACATGCAAGTCCAGGGTTGTTTGTGAAACCAGGTGGTTGGGCCATCCACTACAAGCTCCTGGGATTCAACATGTGGTCTTATTGCCTGCCCCAAACTTCTGCAGTGAGATGGCAGGTTGAGTTGGGGGGAAAAAAAGAAATTAAAAAAAATGAGCAGGGCTGATGACTGCAAGAGACTGCACTGCAAACCCCTGTATCTGCTCTCCTTGGCACTCACCCTTGAGACAGCCGAGGGGTATGTCTTTACGAGCAACATTAAAGCGCTGTCGCGGCAGTGCTCTAACATGGCTGTGTAGTCGCAGCACCAGCGCTGGGAGAGCGCTTTCCCAGCGCTGTAAAAAACCACCCCACCAGGGGAGTAGCTCCCAGTGCTGGTGCACGGTCTACACGGCCACGTTACAGCGCTGAAACTTGCAGTGCTCAGGGGGTGTTTTTTCACACCTCGAGCAAGAAAGTTGCAGCGCTATAAAGTGGCAGTGTAGAAAAGGCCACAGAGTCCCTGAAAATGCCTACTACTTGGAATGAATTCCTGTTTTGGGTTTGATCATTCAGCTGAAAAATCTCAAGGGACTGCACTGGCATGAAAAATGCCCAGGCTGCTGACATTCCAAGCCTTCCATCCACACACTTTAAAAGGTGACCTGCAAAGGAAAGGAACATGTGCGCAATTTTTTGCTTCTTTACAATATACAGAGGAGACCCAAAAGGTTTGGGGCTTCCCTCCATCTGAAATATGAGGCCTACGTTGCCTTCTTTTGGCTAGAGGAATGGAGATCTGGTGGGATGAACACATCACAAGAGACTGAAAGCTGAACAACTGTAAAGGGAAGGAGTTTTAGCCAAACTCGGAAACTCTAAATTAAATAGGTTTCACAAGACAGCAACAGAAAGTCTGACCCCCAGGATACAAGCATTTTTTGAAGGACTCAAACACTCCCAATTCCTTCCACTTGGGTCTGAGGAAACTCCCACTCCAATTGTCTAGTAGTTTTATGAATCCTCCAGCAGAAACACAGAGAATACAATACTTTATATTCTCAATATTTCCAAGGTAAAAATATAAGTAATCCAACCACCCAGCAAAAGCCATTCATTTTCTCTCTCACACACACACACCCCCTCCTTTCTGTCCTTCACACATCATAAAGAAGCAAAAAAGGCAGACAAGTTTTCCCCTCTACGGAGGTCACCTTTAAAGAAAGGACTCACGTATTTATCTTTAACTGAATAAAAGCACTCCATTAGATAAAGCACTCTGCAAAAACTCCATGTTGAGCTCCCTCCACCTTCTCACCATCCTGTGTCCCCACCTCCATATCAGCTCCACAGAAATTACCGATTTCAGATATTACGTTCTTGGTGGGTGCGAATTACACTGGTTTCCCTGGGGCTTTATTTACTATGGTTATTGGACTCTCACTTTCAGGAATATTTACATTTCTGAACAGGGAGAAAAAGAAATTCATTTTACCCAGGTTAGCAAGTCTTCCCCAATCTGATCAATAACAGAGGTCTCATTCCGTTTACGGACAGCTTTCATCTGATCATTCAAACCAGCTGGAGGGGGAAAAAGGCAAAAGAAGGGATAATTACTATGATCTAAATTGGTCATTTATTTCAAAATGCAAACAAACCAAAAAGGAGACTGGATTTGCAATAATCACCTGGCAAATTAAAGTGAAACAACAGAAGTGCTAGATGGTAGGCTAATATTGATAAACAGGAATCATTAATAAGAATGAACAATAACCACCCACTCCAAGAATTTTTCCAACATTACTTTGTCTACTTCACAAGGAGGAGAGGGTTAATGCTATTCTAATTTTAAAATGCGGGGAAACAGACACAGTAAGGTTACAGAGAGTGGCTTGCCCAAAAATCACAGTGATACAGCTGGAATCCTAAATAACAGTCCCTTGCTCTAACCACTAGGAAACCCTGCTTTTCAGAAGCATCAGCATCCAAATACATATTGCTCCCTTTAATAGCCCTCTGCCTATTATCCTCCTGGGCAGCATCTGTCTGGTTAGTTTTTTCGCACGTGCCTATGAGTATTCATCTCAGTATTGCTCTGTTTATGAAAGAGGGAGCGTACATCGCCTCAAGACAGCTTGGGGATGTGGATGAGAACAAGAGTGTATCTGGCACCTTGGCAACAGATATGCTTGCAAACCAAGTGTGAAATGATTGCGTGCATGTAATTCAAGTGCTGTGTGTGGATGCTCACTATGTGCGGATATACTTATGCATACTTGCATCAGCAAGCATGTATATCTCAGATGTGTGCATCCATCACTGCTGTCGTGAGGCTAGCAGAGCTGAAAGGTGCCTCATCTGCCCTTACTGTGGAGCAGAAGGATATCCTCCAGGTTTGAAAAGATTTTGCGCAGGTCAGAGGGGGTCAGGATGCCTTCACGGAGTACACGCTGGTAGAAGACCTGATGCAGCACCTTCAGCGTGCGGACGTGAGCTCGCTCAGTGTAGAACAGCTCTGAAGAGGAAGAAGAGAAATACGGGATTATTACTCATTTAACGCAGGAACAGTGTGTGGATTCCAACATGATCCATAGCGGGAAGCCAGAATCTGCCAGCAATTGAGTTACTTAATAAATTAAGCAGTTTAGAGAGCACGTATTAACTCTGGGGTCAGGAACCTGAATCTGCGAAAATCTCTCCCCTCATCTGTGCCCTCCTTGCTGGCCCAGATTCTGGTGTACTAAGAAATCAGAAACCATGCTCCGTTACCCTAGATACAGGAACGTGCAGGGAAGCAAACTTGTTACTGAATTAACCTATCAGCTCACCCAGTCACACTCACAGCTCTGTAGACTTGTATGATTTGAGATCAAGGTGAAGTCTCCATGAGTGTGCTGGGATAGGAGCCATTCCCTTAGAGCCTGCTTTTTCCAACAAGCAGTATGTAGTCCTCCCTGCCTCTTTACTCCTCCAAGCATGCTGTAAGCTGGTCCTTGTTTTGCCATCTAAAATTGCTTGCGCTGCTTTGGGACTGAGCCAGTCTAGCATCTCTGCATGTTACCTACTGATATATCAACTCTATACCAGCAGTTTGCACCTGCTTGAAGTTTGAAGGTTCCAGGAGTTGGTGGGTCAGCAAAGAGAAACACGCGAACTCACCATTAATCACTTCCTGGCGTTTGATTTCGTGGGGTTTCAGCCCCAGCAGCACCTCTTGGCTCACCAGCTGCTGCCAGTTGGGAGGATCAGTCTCAGTGTCAAAATCAAACAGCTCATCCTCACTCTGAATCTCCCCAAAGCCCACACTGTCCATCCTGAAGAGAGAGAACACGCCAGTCAGACGCCTTCTGATTCAAGCACCGACACAGGGAAGAAAATGGCAAAGTGGAGGCGGGGGGGGGGGAGAAACAGTTGTAAAATGTTAAGAAATACTCAGGGAAGCTGCCAGAAGCCTTCTGGTTACAGATGCAGTTTGGTACTTAGCCCTTTTACAGAGACCTTTATCTAAGGCTTAGCGTTCACTCTTACAACACCCTCTGCATTGAGTATTATAATCCCCATTTTACGACATGGCTACACAGAGGTGAAGTCATTTGCTCAAGGTCACATAGTAAGACAGCAGAAGGAGGGTGGGGGGAGGAAAATCATCTCTTCCCTCCATCTGCAGATACTACCACAAAGATTTAGGGCTTGTCTACATTGGCAAGTTTCTGCACAGAAAAGCAGCTTTTTGCGCTCAAACTGCAGATGTGTACATGCTGCCGAGCCACTTTGTGCACAGAAACTTCCCAGTTGCAGCGCTGCAAAAAAAAACCCCCAGCTCGACGAGAGTCATAAGGCTATTTGTGCAGAGGCTCTAGCGCTCTATGGCCAGTGTAGACACTTGGTTGCTTTCTGTACTGTAATTTGGCCTCCAGAGCTGTCCCATAATGCCTCAAGTGACCGCTCTGCTCATTGTTTTTAACTTGGCTGCCTGGAGACATGCGCCCCTCCCCTTTCAATGTGGAATGCTCATGCTGTTGAACACAGAGGCAGGTGGGCGTGTGCGTGCATGAGAGAGAAAGACGGGGGCTGATGTTGGGGTTTCCCCCTCCCCCTGCCTCAGGACTGGTTGCTTCCTGCCGCTGTCTGAACTTACAAGACAGCATGCTGACAAACTCTGTCCCGCAAAACACAGTCTCTCCCCCCCATACACCCACACCCTCCCTGTCACACACTTTCCCCCACACACTGCAGTTGAAAAGCAGCTGGCAATGTAGTAGGCAGGGCCGGCTTTAGCTTTTTTTTACCGCCCCAAGCGAAAAAAAAAAAAAAAAAAAAAAGGGGTGGGGCTGGAATGTGCCGCCCCTTTCAATGGGCCGCCCCAGGGACATTCTTCCTCATCTGGTGCCTGGAGCCGGCCCTGGTAGGAGGATGCCCATGGAACAATTGGATTGGGAAACCTGCATCATGTGACGCTGTGCTTGCCCCATGGGGCATTGCAAATCCTTCCCAAAGCACCTGGCGGCCAGTTGCACAATGGAACAGCTACCACAATGCACTGCTTTCTTTGCCGTTGCAAGAGCTGCTAATGTGGATGCGCTCCAGCGTCACAAGGAGCGCAGTGTGGACAGGCAACAGGGTTTTAATAAAAGTGGTATAACTTGTGGTGCAGAAACTTGCCAGTGTAGACATACCCGTAGGAACAGAACCCAGTATTCTTGACTCCCAATCCAACCATTATAAGCAGTGGTAATAATAATTAGTGCTTTTCATCCAGACATCACACAGCGCTTCACAACGTGGGTATTAATAACCCCACTACCCAGTACTATTATCTAGGACGGTCATTGAAGCTATTTTGAACAGGGACAGATTACAAATATCACTGAGCTCTACTTTATAAGAGTGTGGCCTGGTGGACAGCACACTTGACTGGCACTCAGGAGACCTGGGTTCAAAGCCCAGGTCTGCCACTGGCCTGCTAAGTGCACCTGGTCAAGTCACGCCATTTCTCCATACTTCAGTCTCCACCCTGTGGGAAATGGGGATAACTATGCCGACCTCCTTTGTAAAGTGCTACATCAGGTATTACCATAAAGTAAAGTAACGTCTTTAGTTCCAACTAGTTCACAGCCATACTCACTTTCGGAAAGGTTTTGGTGTTCCCAAGTCGGCTAATCTAAACAACAAAAACACAACACATTACAGGATTAACGTGAGTAATGGGATTTCATTCCATTCAGAGGAGCTCCAGAGTGAAATCTTAAGGACTGGTTTGTGTCTCTAGCCAAACTTGACATTCTAGCCCTGATGCTGAAGAGAGAGTCTTCTACTACAATTATAGTGGGAGGAAACTCAAGTATCTCAGGGCAGTGTCTCTATTCTCCCCCCTTCTCCGCTCACCCCGCCCCAAATAATGTTCAAAATAGGCCATGCTGCCAATGTTGTTCTATAGACCCAATATAATTGCTACACCCTTCCCAGCTCCAAATAACCTGTGCCCATAAATACCTATCAAGTTCTCCCTCCTCCTCTTGCAGCTGGTCCAGCGGAGGGGATGGGAAATCAAAGATGGTGTTAGGTGTGCGGGGTGCGCCATCCATAGAGTCACTAGGAGGTGGAGCATCTCCAGACAGCTTGGGGCCTGAAAAGAGAACGGTCAAGGGTTTCCAGGAGAGATCAAAACACAAAACTAGCTTTCAGAGCTCTCTTGGAGGCTGAGGGGGGACAAAAATAAAATAAACCCAACAATTCCTGATCTTCGAAAGAAAGAAGCCTTAACAGAGAAGCATTTAACATTGCATTCATCTGTTTTTGCAGGGCTGGGTACTTGAGCACTGAAGTCGGGGCTATTTCTTCCTCAGGATGATCAAACAATACAGAATTTGGAAGCCACATTCAAGGACCCAGTGACATAACTCAGCACAAATCACTGAACACGAAGAGTCAGTGTCTAAGGGCCTCAATGTTAGTAACATGCTCTCACAATGGGATGGCAATTTGCACATCCTGTCCGCAATACAGCCTTTAACCCCCCCCACTCCAGCATCCTCTCACCTGTCTCGCTGTCCTTGCTTCCCTCCGGGGAGGTAAAGGGTCCCATAGCTAAAGGAGACATAGGATTGGCAGGAGGGCATGTCGTGTCTGTACCATCGCTGGAGGACCCACTCTGGCGCATCTTGACAGAGTCTGGCGGCTCTGGACTAACTGAAGAGGCCGTGGATAAGTGCTTTGGATGGCGCTGCTTCTGAATTTCCATGGCCCTGCCAACTGAACAGAGACAGACCAGACAGAGATTGCTGGAGGCCTTCCTGTCTCCAGAAACCCTCAGAGAGATTTCAACAAATAATTTCATTAGCTTGCTTTGTTTTTTAAAAAAAATCACATCTCAAACCCAATGAGTCTCCAGTTAACGAATGGCTACTCAAGCTCTGATACGAGGATGTTGTTCAGAGGGTTTCTTTAGCCGACATCTAAAGTACTCTGTGCATTGTGGAGGTTACCTAAACAGATTTTAAGTCTCATTGGGATATAGGGTGACGATGGGTGCAGAGACCAACCGATTTTTCAGACAGACAATTAGTAAGCAGAACGCACTTTCCACAGTCCAACATACTTGCACTGCTGTCATGGCGACTCGGTCTCCGTGGTGGTCCCAGGATACTGGGGAAGCCTCTCCTCTTCACTTTTTCCTCCCCTTCTTTCTCTTTCTTTATACTTTGCTGTGGTTAATCCGCAACCAAAGAAAAACCAAATGAGGAACTCATTTCTCCAGGAGTCAGTTATAGCTATATCTGCTACCACCTCAGAATCCTAGAAGTTCAAGATGGTCGAGACCCATTCACACCAGTTGGTCTATCCCTATTCCTCTCTGTCAGCGCAGGACAGTTCACAACAGTATTTCGATTTCCAGGAGAAAGGAGTGGGTTCTAAGGGTCATTTCCTTACCCAGAGCTTTTATAGGACTCGAAGTATGAGAAGAGGGTGACCAGGAGTCAGGCAGCCAAATGAGAGAGGAACAAAGCTAACGTGTCAAAACATAGGCTCTTAAATCCATCTTTAGACACCTGACACACTGGAGTGTGGAGCAGCCCCAGCTCCCACTGAAGTCAATGGAGGCTGCAGACACTCAGCACCACTGGAAGTCATGGCCACTTATATTTAGGCGCTTAAGTATGGAGTCTTACTTGAGGCACTCACGTTTGAGAAGGTTGGCCACAGACTCCGGATGTGCCGCTCTTACCTTTATCTTTGGCAGGAAACCAATACGTCCACGCTTCTGCTCCAGGCTCCGGGGCTCCTTGACTTTCACACCCAAATATTTCATGTAGGTGAGAATCACATACTGCATGGTTGAACTGCAAAACAAATGAAAGAGAGAGGGAAACTGGTAAAAACTGAGTTTGGCAAGCCTCTTAATTAAGAAGTTGGCATACAGAGATTAACAACTGATTTTCTAATTAAAATCCTTCTCTAGCATTGGGGCACCAATTCCTTTTGATGGGACAGTCACAAAAGACCAGAAAACACCTTGCCCATCATAGAACCTGTCCTCTTGCAAGTGCAAAATATAGTCCCTGATACCTGCTGACTGATACATCCTCTGTAGCAGTGGTTCTCAACCAGGGGTACCTGTACCCCTGGGTGTACTTAGACATCTTCCAGGGGGTACATCAGCTCATCTAGATATTTGCCTAGTTTTACAACAGGCTACATAAAAAGCTCTAGTGAAGTCAGTACAAACTAAAATTTCATACCGACAATGACTTGTTTGTACTATACACCAAAATGTAAGTACAATATTTACATTCCAATTGATCTATTTTATAAATATATGGTAAAAATGAGAATGTAAGCAATTTTTCAGTAATAGTGTGCTGTGATATTTTTGTATCTGTATGTCCGATTTTGAATGCAAGTAGATTTTAAGTGAGGTGAAATTTGGAGGCAACGTAAGACAAATCAGACTCCTACAAGGTGTACCGTAGTCTGGAAAGATTGAGAACCACTGCTCTGTAACATCTAGGCAATTATTCAGAAAATGTTTCCAGAAGTTCTAGAACAGTAAACATACTAGTAATACCACAATGCAGCTAAGTCTCAGCTGCAGTAAAACTTGCCCAGATACAGTAAGGCTCCATCCAGACTGATCTCCGACGGAGAGCACGTCTAGAAAATGAAGTTTGCTGCTACAGCCAGCAGAGGGCTATCTTGTCCTGCTCAGCAAAAGTCAGACACGGAGCCAAGCGACAGCACTTAGGTGAGGTGATCTTAGTCCACATGCAAACTCCACAAAACTGGTACATTACCTCTTGTCCTCTTCCAGAGGCTGAGAAGTCATCCTGAAAATGAGAGAGACAGTTTAAAGAACACAAACCAATCCCAAGCAAAAACACTCACAGTCAAAACAATCCAGCACGACAGCACCTATTTGTATAGTGCCTCCTCCTTGAATGCTAACAAATCCCAGCCAAATTCCATAGGGAGAAGCCAGCAGCTCTTCTAAAAACCAAGTCTGAGGCTGCAAGTTTCTTTGAGCCAACTACAAAAATGCTGGGTCTGACACTCGAGATGCCAAGAACGGAAGCCCTGGAGTGGCTATTTAATATGTATTCCAGGAATAAGCAAATCCACTACAGACTATCTGGGGATATTTGCTCTGGATTCATTCTCCGATGGCCTCCATTATACTGATGGGTAATCCAACAGCGGCCAGAAGCAAACTAGGGAGGAGGGGAAAGGTGATGACCCTGAATTGTTTTCAGTTCTCAACTCCTTTGCTTTGCTCTCATCAAGCCTTGAGTGGATAGAAGACAGTCTGCAGGTTAACCCCACATTCACACACGCTGCTACTTACAACACCTCCTCGATTTTGATAATTATCTGCTCCGCACACGCTCGCTCTCTCTCCAACGTGATCCGGTCACGGACACGTTCTGCATCCAGCTTGGTCAGTTCATTTTCGGCCAGCGTCAATCCCATGCTACGCTTCTGTCTAAATAAGGAGAGAAAATAACCCCATGAAATAACATACCTGGGTGATGTGAACAAGTGGCCTCCCAGCATTCAGAATGCTCGATAGTTCCAGTCCCACCTCTCCTACCAAAATGTTATGTGGCCTTGGGAAAGTCACTTCACCTCTGTGCATCATTGGCCCAAGCAGTAAAGCACAGCCAATACCACTTCATGGAGCAAGAAGGCTTCACAAACTGCAAATACAGCTTCATGAAACTGTAGCCTCTTCTGAGGTCAAGGGCGGCAGCCAGACTGCTGTACAATAAGCTGTGCCCCACATAGGAAGAGGCGGAGACGGGCAATAATGGCCAAGGAAGAGAGGAAGTCTGATCTGAGCACTGTGCACTCAGTGTCTGTGCCAATACAGAGGGCATTTGAAGAGCCCAGGGCTGTCCTTCCAAGCAATCACAGATTACCATGCAATTGCTCTGACCACACATAGCAGAGGAGCAAGTGAGCTCCAAAATTTGAGAGTATCCCCACAGTGACTTGCTAACATGGAGGATTCATCTAGGCCAAAGACGAATTACCAAGTCCTGGAAGTTTGAACTTCCCTCCATATTAACAGAATGTTAACTCGGGGCAGGGCTGAAGTTTAGTGCTCAGTACAAACTGCAGGAAAGAGTCTACATACCTGAAATCTTCCAGATGCCTCTGGACATCTGGATAGACTTTATCTTGCATAGTTTGGATATAATGGCGGTGCAATTCCTCTGGAATGAGTTCTGGCCTTCTTTTTTCTGCAGGTGAAGGGAGGAAGAAGAGGCAGAGTTTCACTTTAGAACACTGTATTACAATAGTTACTCTGTATTAGGAGAAAGCCATCCACATAAGCTCTTCAGTCTATGTAGCAGTGACCTTTTACCTCCTGCTGTCTGCCACGTGAAAGTGCATTAAGCGCCAACAGCGTTAGCTAGACCCAATATCGCACTAAACAAATACAAGATGTAGGTGCCCACGCCTCCCATCTAGCCATATACCAGAGCGTATAGAATGTTCTTCCCAATCAAACACCAACACGACCACCTACCTGTCTCTCCATGTTTGACATGCAACACTGTCTAGGTGTCAAACACACACCTGAAGACATACCCACAGAGAGATTTCTTTAAGAGATCCGTTAGGACTGTCTCAAACAGTAGGATCTATGCCAATGGACACTCAGTATAAAAGGACCTTACCTAGATCTATAGATATTTCATCTGGAACTGGAACCTTCAGATTCTGAAAAAGGAAAGCAAATGTAAGAGTGAGACCATACGTGACAGGCTCTTCTCTCCCCTGAGCACTTGCAGGAGTCACAAAGGCAATTCCCTCTGCTCAGAACGTATCAATTCTAAGGCCAGAAGGGACCATTGTGAACACCTAGTCTATGGCCTGTGTTATACAGGAGTGCAGAGTTTCCCCAAAATAATTCCTACAACTGATATTTTAGATAACATTGCACTGTTACTAGGTGCATCATGGAAGTGGTTTCACCTTCTTCCAAGGCATGTGGTACAGACCTCTGCTTCAGGCAGGATATCAGATGAGCCTGTCCATGGGTCTTATCCATTATGGCAAAATAGAGGCTCCTCGTCTTTGTAAAACAGATGCTAATGTGGGAATTTTGTGTAACCGTCGCATCAATTTAAGCGGCAGAATCCAACTCTACAGCAACGGACGACTACCCCAGGTTATCTCGGATGTCAAACTCATTCCACTTCCTATCAAAGAACATGCTGCTTGCAAATTGGGGGGTTTCCATAGTCCTGAGGTTGTGGCCAGCTTTATTCTTACATTCAGTGCTAAGATTTTAACAAGGAACTACAGTAGTTACAGGAGACAGACAGAAGAAGCGCCTCTGCCTGGGTACAGCTTTGGGGGGAGGGGGAGGAGAAGGTTAGAAAACCAGGACTAACTTGATTTTTTTTTTTTTTTTAAATTACGTTTGAAAAATTTTACTTCCGTTTTCAGATTTCTGAGCATTGGTGGCAATGCTATGACCGCACAGTCAATTCAGCCATTGAGTCGTTTCAGTTTACTCAACTATAAATAACGATCATACATTTTAAACTCGGCAGAAGTAAATCTCAACCTGATAGACCACAAACGATAAAGAATAGGGAAGCCATATATAATGTATAATGGCTGTGAGCAATAGATGAAACACTATGTAAACCCCCAGAAGTTTGAGGCACTGGAGAGAAGGCTGTATCAGCTTTAATCCATAGCAACATTTCTATAGTGCTTTTCATTGTGAAGCTCCAGTTACACACACACACACACACACACACACACACACACACACACACAGCCAGCCAATGAAATGCAGCACCTGTAGGTTGGAAAGCACCAAATAACTGGAGTGCAGAATACTTTACAATATGTGCAGAGTGGGGACCAAGGGGAGTTTTGGCCTACTCTTATGAAACCGGTCATGTGATCTTTCAGGAAGAGACAGACAATATTCTGGTATTTAAGACACCCACAGACAACAGCTTTTACCCCACAAAACAGAAGGCTAGGTCTACCCGGCCTGGATACAAATGAAGGTTCCACAGTGCCTATAGCACTTCTAAGAGCTCTCCAGCACATCAGAATGAGTAAGGTAAAATCAGTTCCTTCCGTGTGGTTGCAGGGGGAGACAAAAAGGGCACACCTGTCTTGGAACCTACCGCAGCTCGGTCCAGGAAGAACTGGTTAAACTCAAGGAAGACACGACGAGTCTCTTTGGAGTTGGTCTGTTTGTACAAGTCCGTGTAAAGATAGCAGAGCTGGAGGAAAGAGAGAGAGTGAGAACTCTCCAAATTCTACCTGTGAATTTCCTCCCAAATGTTCAGAGGAGATAAGCCTCTCAAAACTCCAGTTACTGGCAAAGAACTTGTAACATGGCTGTGCTGAAGAGATGAATCAATACTTTTAGAGGCCATTTTATTTATCTGACATTTCCCTTCATTTATTCAAAAGCTCGACACACGCGTGAGAGGTGAACCCTCACACGAAGACAGCTTCATTTTTCTCACTGCCAAAGCAGCTGCACTATCCGGGATTATGTTGCTTAAGAGAGAGGTGACTCCAGACCACTCAGGCCAACCCCATAAATCTGGCCCAGCAGAACCATTCCAGAGTGACATCTTACCAGCGTTGCTGGGTCAAACTGGGACACCACATGATGCAGGAACACAGCCAGGTGAGCTGGGCGAGATTTCAGCAGCTCGATGTTCTGGAAACAGCTGCATTGCCCATTAATCTGTAAAGACACAGACAGTCCACTTCAATTGCACACAAAGGCCTGTGAGAAACCTGGAAGGCTTCTTCCCAGTCGAATGGCTTCTCCTTTCTTTGGTAAGCAACAGAGCAGAACCAGCCTAACTCCATGACTCATGGACTGCCATTCTAGCCCTTCAGGAAGAGCTCAGCATCAGCCCACTTCCTGGTCTTTTCCATACAGTTTAGTACTTGAAAACATTTTCACACAAGACATAATGGAACAGAATCAAGAGCAAATTACGATTAAAACCCTTCAGTACAAAGGTATTAGAAAAGATCACTGCTGAAGCAACACTGCAGCTTACAAAAAGCCAATTAAAGCTAGGCAATACAATAAAGCAGATTAATTTCCGGTGAGGTTAAAGTTATGGGGAAAATGACAGGATAACAAAGAATCACAGACTATTTTAGCGCAGACTCTGAAAGTGCCATTTGCCGTTAGTTAGGGCCAACAGTGACAATGAATCCTCTTTTTTCTCTCTCTCTCTTTTTTTTTTTTTTTTTTTTTTTTAAACTTTACTAGACAAGAACTGTCTGCTAACAATATGGCATGACGTGGTCATAACAGAGGCATAAGGAAAGTGTTTAGATGCAGCTGCGTCCCATCCCAAAGAAATGGCTTTGTGACAGAGAAGAGCAATACCCACCTGCTCCTGTTCAGTGTCAAAGTCGTCATCCTCTGCTCCGATGATCTGAGGTGCCATGCGGGAGGAGGGACTCCCAATACTGGATTGAGAATCCTGGGGTGTTGAGAGAGAAAAAAAATGCAGAGAGCGGTTAATGTCTCAGGGAAGGTTTCTCTTTGGCAACCGCCTATCAGGAGATTATGAGAGTTTCATTTTTAATGAAACAGTCACTCTTTTGAAACTCAGTCTGGTCTTTAGACCAAACAGCCCGAGTTTAAACTGACCCAGGCCTTCTTTCTGATGCAGCAAATGGACAGGACCCCTGGTCCAAGGAGGGCCCCAATCCTAAGGGAAGGATTGGAAGGACTTTGGCCCACTGAGGCACCAGAAGAACAAAAGCCCTTGTTCTGAGCTGAAGCTGTGATGAACTTGTGACCACAGAAAACCCCTGGGATGGAGTCTGAAGGACTTTTCACTGGTCAGAGCCCTTGGAGTCAGGGGGCGATCTCTGGGAAGCTGATTAGCATGCATGTAGGTTCTTTTATTGTTTATAAATTTTTCTGTAATGCATTTACCTTAAGAATAAATGTGCTTGCTTATAAAGTGCTATGTGGTATCTTAACTATGGCAATTATACGGTTTACTGTCTGTGAGGAGAAAAGACAAGCAGGCCAGCTTTGAGCTGGGGAGCTCGAAGTGTAAGCAGGGAGCTGTGCAGTCTGGAAATACCCCAGTCAGGAGGGAGAGTGGCGCAGGTCCCGTCCCCGTCCCCTCCCCCATGCAAGAGAGCTGTCAGCTGAGGAGCCTGGAGCCTACAGTGGGTGCCCTTGCTGGACCACAAGGGGGAAATGCAGGTTCCTGAATTGTGACATTAGGATCTTCCCCTTTTAAGATAAGAATGCTCAGAAAAGCCACAGTTAATAGGTTTCAAACCCACATTGAATGGCCTATTTTTGTATTCTCTGACCGTCACCCATCAAAGTGAGAATGCCTCCAACGAGGCATGCTGTGAGATGGTATATGCCTAGCAACTTCTTTCTGCAAATGGAGGCATTTGACTCGCAGCAGTTCCCAAACTATATCGGTTCATGTATCACCCTCTTAAACTGTTGCGAACTGAAGGAGCATCAAGCGGACATATCGCCAGTGGTGTATGCACCACAATTTGGGAACCAATTGAGAACTAACGGGTGAGAGGCATACCCTTTAGAATTCTTCCTCGGGAAAATTATTCATTCGAATAACCAATAACTACTGCTGACAAAAGTTTCTCTTTTCCCCATTCACAATGACATCCCTGAGGTCCCAGTCACACAGTGATTGAGTGTCCCAAGGCAAGAAAGCCTTCCTCCATTTCGGGTGGGGCTGAAGGAATACAGACATAGGTGACAGCTCCAGTCATTTGAGAGACAGCTGTTTTACAGCAGATTATATACTTCTGATCCTTTAATGGACCCCCTTTTAAGCTCCATAAATATTTATTTGGCCAATTGAAGTTTCCTGCACAATTCTTAATTGCATTTTATTTTCTAAGGCAAAAAGTCAATTTATGTTCCATTTAGACAACAGGGGAAGAAAAAAAAAAAAAAGATTTTAATAGACTCATTACAGAAGCAGCAGCTTGGACTCACAGTATCTTGAATCTCACTCTTCTCTGGACTCTCCTCCAGGGAAATCCGTTCCTTCAGGCCACTCCGGGGACTCTGGGAAGAAAGGAAGGGCAATTCTGGTGAGTATCAGCAGGCTCAGAAAAATAAGAACTGTCGAGCAAGTTCTTGAGTAACAGACAAATTTTACATGGCTCACATTCAATGGATTGCTAAGTAGCTGCCAGAAACAGTCAAGAAAAGTTAAACCCTAAATAGACACCCATAGGCACACTATCTAAAACCAGTAACTTAATATGTTTCTAGGACACATGAAAGGAACTGAGTAAATTAAGCTAATAATATTGACAGAATTTCTTTCATTACAAAGGCTACTACCTCAAATGGTAATTTTGCCCTGCCTAGTCCCCTTAAAATGCAGTTCTCACTGATGTTATATTGCAGTGGTTTTCAACCTTTTTTCATTTGTGGACCTCAAACATTTTAAATGGAGGTGGGACCCATTTGCAGACTATTCCTAAGATTTCCAGATCCCCAGGGGTCTGTGCACCACAGGTTGAAAACCACTATTATATTGCATAAAAACGAGAGGGAGCAAACGGACAATCTTGATCTTTTTCTGGTCCCTGTTCCTTTAATTTCCAATTGCAAATTGAAGCCCCACCCAGCTAGACTCCTACATCATCGCTAATAATCAAGAAAAGGGAGAGGGGGCAGTTGAGATTCTTCAAGCATCAAACAATACGATTCCCACTCTTCCCTGATCCCCGCAAAATAAAAGGAAACCCATGCCACAGTTCCCTTAATGACAATGGCCTTCCACTTAATAGGTGAAGATTTTGAAGCCTGTGAAAACAGAAGGCGATAATGGAAACTCATTTGCTACCTTAACTATAATGGGTGTGACTACCGCTGGCTGTCATTAATAAAAACAGATCCCCTTCAAAGCCTTGCATTTCTTGGGCTCAGCTCCCCTGTAAGGGTGGGAGAGCCCCACGGCCCACCATTCCCCTCTATAAGTCAATTTTCAATTCTGCAAAGATTGTCTGTTTCAGGAGCTTTTGTCTAGAGTTTTTATAAAGTCTTCTTTCAACTTTACATTTCAGTGAGATTTTGTTCATATAAACCTAAAATCGGAAACTCAGACTACAACTACATGATTATTTTGCATGGCAGTTTTCTCTCAGGGATATCAAATTATTTACAAAACTATCAAACCTCACACAACCCACTAGGAGGTAGAAATCATCATATCCCCAATACACAGCTCAGAAAAATGACCCATAAGTTCTATAACAGCCCCAGTCCCAATTCCCCAGTACTAACCAAACAACGCATTAATTAAAGGTTAGGTGCTAAAACACTATAGCGATGGGGTCTTATTAGTACCTAGATAGTTAGCTGATGGATCAATAAAAGAAAAGACTAACTACTGGTTAATGACTGATGTGTATCTGGTAGGAGTGATGCTTTTCCTCACACTCATGGCAACTTGCCCTGTGACTGTCTGAGTCATTCTAACCACATACGGAACATTAAGATGTGCTTCCAGATACTGTAGTTTGTCTCATTTCTGTAAGACACTGGCATTCATCTTTCTCAGCCTGGTAACAGGGAATGTGCCAGGAAAACCCAACCCTGAAAAACATGGTATTTTCCTTTCCCAGTGCCTCAGGGAAGACTAGCACTGCAAGCTTCCTCACAGCAGCGTCTTTGGTACATCCCTCAAAGCGCTGTCCTAGTACTGTGTGTGTGAGAGAGCGAACATATGCATAACACATGGAGGACAGAGCTGTCAACCTAAAACTCATTATGAGAAAAACAAGCGCAAAGGGACAAAGGTGGAGCTTCGGAGCTACCCTATACTCACATCAGCAATGTCACTGTTCGGCCGGGAGCCGTCACCACTGCTGTAGTCTATTTTGCTCAGCCCATCCCCACTCTCAGCCTCTACTTCACTGATCTGCAGTGACTCCGTCACAGATCTGGAGGACAAAACTCCATCCTAAGAAAGAGAAAATGTATTAAGAGACTGCCCGAAGCAGGGCAATGAGGTGTTTAAGGAGTAGAACACTTAGGATGATAAAGCCCTGGCTGGCATGATTTAGTTGGTCCTGCTTCGAGCAGGAGGTTGGACTAGATGACCTCCTGAGGTCTCTTCCAACCCTAATCTTCTACGATTTTATGACTCTATAATTAGCAGGTTCAAAATTTGACCTAATCCGCTTGATCTATAAAACTCCAAATTTGTTAAGTGGCGGTAGATGCTTTTCTAAGAAATAACATCAAGAGCACGGTGCTCATGAACAGCCTTACAACATGCAATGGGGAAAAATTTGCTTTTACTGGTCAACAGGCAATGGGGAAAAAATCCCTTCAGTAAAGACACTTTCTATTTTAGAGCTTCAAGTAATTTATTCTGAACTATAAGGATATAAGAACATAACATAGGAACGGCCATACTGGGGTTCGACCAAAGGTCCATCTAGCCCAGTATCCTATCTTTCAACAGTGGCCAATGCCAGGTGCTTCACAGGAAATGAACAGAACAGGGAATCATCAAGCAATCCATCCCCTGTTGCCCATTCCCAGCTTCTGGCAAGCAGAGGCTAGTGACACCATCCCTGACAATTCTGGTTAATAGCCATTGATGGACCTGTCTTCCATGAACTTCCCTAGTTCTTTTTTGAACCTGATTATAGTCCATAGGATAATTTTACAGATTTCATTTCACTTTTACTTAAGATACAGAAATAAATTAGAGATCAAATCACTAACACACAATTAGATCTTATTGCTTTAAACACAGCCTCTCAATCTCCTCGGACACAGAGCAACGGTGCATTATTACTTCTGATTAAATACTATCATATCCACCATATACAGAACCTGTAAGTTATCAACTTCTGTGAGCCTAATTGCAAATAATAATTAAAAAAAAAAAAAAAAGTCACTTATGCCTGCATCTAGACAGCTCCTGAAAGTAGGCAGTGCAGGTCTGCTTGTGGAAATTGGCAAGAACATGGCAGGGAACACCCTGCTCCCACCCACATACAGCTTTCCCTACAGCACGTCCAGCTGGAGTTCACGGACAGGATTCTCAACACTCCCATTACCTGAGTAGAGCCGGTGGCTTTGGACAGCTGCTCTTGCAGCTGAGGGATGTGCTTCTTAGTTTCCTGTATCTCCTTAAGCAGGCGCGGGGTGGGTGCTCGGCTGTAATCTTCTTGCAAGGACTGAAAAGTTTAATGAGCATTTGGTGAGCTATCCCTGCAACACTGATGCCTAGAGCTGCAGTCACTGACTCATCTGCATATCAGCGACATGTCTATGAAATACTAATTACAAATGCCATTAAATGGAATTATTTGTACACCTGTTGCTGTTGCAACTGGGTGCTACAGCACCTATATTAATACAGAGCTCCTCCCTCTTCTCCCCGACCTAACTGTAAGAAAAAATTCCCCGTCATAGCCATATTCAGACAGACATTCACATAGTTGCTCAACTAAAGAGATGCACCTTCTACCATAGCCAGAGGTAAGCACATTTGGAGCTTAATCCTGAGAAGTGCTGCAAACCCACAACTCCTGTTTTCTTCCACAAGACTCTCAGATGCTCACATCTCTCAGGATTAGACCAGAGGGGATGAGAAGCACATAGAAGCCTCCCGAAGAGAAGACATCCTCCACTCTTAAGCATTCAACTGTCAAGCATGAGCACCTTGACAGGTCTCTGCTGTTGTGCTGGGATAGAGGCAATCTCTTAGGCAGTCATGTTACAGACCACAAGGAAATTGATCAAGACAGTACTAATGAAAGATTCAAAAGCTGGTCTCTATTTTCAACTCTTCCCTCTGCAGACCCCACTCTCCAGTACCTGCAGCCGCTCCTGCTCTTTCTGCAGCATCTTTCTCAGAATCTCCACTTTCTGGTTGTGAACAATATTGTTCTCCTCCTGAGAAAAATGGAGAAATGTTAATGCACTTGGAAAGGAAAATATGGAGATGCTCCCTCACCCCCATCTTAAATATAGGGCCTCTACAAACCCTTCCAAATGGGTTCTTAAGTTTCCTCAGGTCATTATCCTACACTGACGGTATCCACCCACCTCTCTACCTGAACATAGTTGCCACAACTCTTTCTTAAAAGTGATTCACCCAAACCAGTTACTCATTTTCTTGTCCTTAAACGCTTGTTTCTCTTGCAGTTGGATGCTAATAAATGTTATGGAATGATGGCCATTGCTAGAGCCGGCCATTGTGCAAACATCCATCATGCAATTTTCTTAGCAAATCTCAAAGCGGACGGTAGTGCCCTCCTGCTATTCAAGCCCTGCTCTCTCAAATAGACATGATGCTTAGCTGAATGGTAGTTTTGCCATTGGCATGTGTCCACTATGAATACAAATTCCATTTGATCAAGAATGGAAAATAGGTCTCCAGAGACTGAACATTAGCATATTTTCCCATTGCACAACCAACCCTGCTCCAAAAGCCCATTTGAATCTTACCCCCATCAGCACCGGGCTAGTAATCCTCTCTGCATTTCCAGATGTGCCAGGCGAATGGGGAGATGTCATGATGGGAGACATATGCCCAAATGCTGCTGGATCCACTTCAGAATCAGCTAATGGAATCTGGGACGACCCTGGTGGGCGCCCCTGCACAGTGAGAGCTACATAGGAACCCGCTGTGCGGAGAAAGAACAATTCGCATTTCACATACATTTACGTTGGACTAGTCATGGCCCTTTCTGTCCCCAAGAGACAAGCAGCAGACTATACTTCATCTGTTAATCTGTCCAATGGTGTTTATTCACACCAAAGAGCCTGAAAATACTGTTAGCTCCGCTCGAGAGATTGTTTTTAAACTTCAGGTAGCCCAAAAATCTATCAGTTAAGCAGTGACAAAATACTTTTTTTTTAGTTTGCTAGACAAATGTATGTTTAAGATACATGTCTGTAGTCACCAAAGAATTAACATGGGCTACATTGGGAAGAACTAGTAACATCCCTTTCCTGCATGAAGGAACCAGCCCAACTCCACTATCCCTTTATGACAATCTACAGGAGATACAGCTCGAATGACAACTATTAGTGACATACAAAGGCACTGACATTAGAGAGGCAAAACAAGGGGAGATGCAGGAGATCGGTAGTGGGGGGTAGGGTAATTTCAGCCATTGGACAATGGTAGAAAAGAGTAAAATTCCATATCTGCTGAAGTATGGATTAAACCTTTCCCTGCCCTTCAAAGAGATTTCAAACTCCACTTCTCTATCTCTACTTTGAACGTACTCAGCACTATCAGACAGGTGGAATAATGGTCAATAGCAGAGCCAGACTCCCCTAGTAACTGCCTGATGGCTGAACTGGTAGTTTGACCTCTTAAACAGTCATCCCTTTAATGGTTTCAAGCAGTGCACTGAAAATAAGCAACAACCTGCATGGACTTACACTTGATCAGCTTCACCACATCCCCATGGTTTGAGTTTGTTACAAGAGTCCCATTCACCTGGGGGGAGGATGGGGGGTGGGGAGGGAAGAGAGGAAGAGCATTAAACTTTTTGGTCTCTGACCTTGGAGAAACTGCTTCCTCATGTCTCAACACAAACTCAGAGAGAGAAGCAACTAGACCCATGTTTGCTCTCACTTTTTTCATGCCCTTTAATGTACTAACAGGATACTCCCACCTTTGGATGCCACACTACAGAGAAAATCTGATAAGCCCTCCCTCTCCATATAAACATGTTAAAAATGCAGCATTGGTTTGAAAGGAGAAATACGATGCTTCCCCTGTGCTGATGAATCTCATGCACAGGGAAGCAGAAGCCCAGTGCACCAGAGCAAATCTTGGTGAAGAAAATAGCAGGGAAGTACAGTAAAAAAATCTAGCCTTGGCTCATTTAACTCACTAGTTAATTCACTTGGGGTGAAATCCCAGCTGGATCAGAGTCAGTGGGAGTTTTGCCATTGACTTCAATGGGGGTAGGATTTTTTGCACTGGTTCCCTGGAGAATTTCACAGCCAATACCTAGGTTTCTTATTTGTTTGATACCAAAAGGGAGCATGGATTTAGGATACATGGGGAAAATCAAAAAGTGCGTTCCAATTTACAGCTAAGTATCATTGGCTCTCCCTCTTGCCACATTTATTGGCCTTTCTATGTATGTGCAATTTGAACCATTTGAGGTACATAAGCTTGCGGGGGACATTCTGAAATGAGAGTAATCTCCATTAAAAAATTATCATCTGCCAACAGACATTACACAGTTACTGGCTAGCAGTGAAATAAGGAAATAGAGGATTTCTCAGATCTAGTATATAGTAGTAACTGCTATTAACTTTTGACAAATGCAGACGTTTTAATGGGGACCACTGAACTGCACATTTCTCTAATGCACGTGATCCATTTCACTGAAAACACTAAGCACCCTTACCTTGATGATTCGATCACCTGTCTGCACTCCAGCCCGCATGGCTGCTCCATCTAGAGAAGGAGAGAATTAGTCATTTACAATTGTATCTATTTCTGCTTCCAGTAATTTTCCATTTCAGTGACTAGAGAAACGTCATCCTCTTTCTAACTCTGTGCAAAAACCATCCTCTCATACTTGCCCTAACCCCCTCTCGACTCCCCCAGAACCCAGGTATCCACAGATTACAATCTCATGAGTCTCCAGATTCCAGGAGTTATGGTTTCACATTGCAGGTGACACATCATGATCACAATCCCACAACCGTATAAACACAGACCTCATTTATTTCCTGGCCTGCACAGGATATGAAACTGCTTCTGATTAGTTCAGACACTGGAGAGGGGAGGCCCCACGCAATCCAGCAATGCAATGCTACCCTTGTCCTCATGCATCTGATCATCCATCTGTGATGGCTACAGCTCCTTGCCCTGGAGGATTACTATTCGAATCTTCTCCCTTCCCCTCTCACATGCTCCCCTGCCCTAGACAGAAGCCCTGTGGACTGCTGTCTGCTAGCATATTTAGCAAGTTAGCTTACCTTCTTTGACTGACTGCACAAAGACTGGATTGTCTCCACTAACTGTCAGCCCAAATCCATTTTCATCCCGCTGGATGATAACGCAGCGCTGAACGAGACCTGCACAAGTAAGGTGGGGAAAGGGGAGAAGAGAGAGGGGAAAAAATACAAAACGACAAGCTCGGCATCAGTCCAGAAGCTTATTCTGCTAGAACACCGCAAAGCACTGAATGAAACCTGTACTAGAAGACACAAATAGGGCATCAGTCCAGAAACATAAGTATGTCAAGACAGGTCAAGCTCACTGAATTGGTTACACGACACAGATATATAGCAGAGATGCAGACAGCTCTGGCACATCAGACGAGACTGGAGGTAAAAGCGACCTTTAAGAAAAGCAACTATGAACATGAATCATTGTGCACAATCGCCTTCTCCCCACCCCAATAATTCTCTGTACACCACCTGTATCCGCGATAATGCTCTAGGCACCTGGCAAATATAAACAGTACCAAATATATTTACATATGACCAAATTAACACACAAAAAACACAGATAGCTCAAACTAAAGTCAGCAGATTTGATTTGTAAAAGTTTACAGCACAAACAAGTCTTCATAGAAACGTAGGGCAGGAAGGAACCTTCAAGGGGTCATCTAATCCTTCCCCCCATGCTAAGGCAGGAGCAAGTAAACCTAGAGCAGTGGTTTTCAACCGGTGGTCCCGCAGACCCCTGAAGGTCTGCAGACTATATCTAAAATTTCCAAAGGGGTCTGCACTTCCATTCAACATTTTTGGGGGGTCTGCAAATGGAGTTTGAAAACCACTGACCTAAACCATCCCTGACAAGTGTTTGTCCAACATGTTCTAAAAAACCTGAAAACGATGGAGATTCCACAACTTCCCTTGGTAGCCTATTCCAGAACTTAACTATCCTTCTAATTAGAATGTTTTTTCTAATGTCTAACCTAAACCTCCCTTGATGCAGATTAAAAGCCCATTACCTCTTGTCCTACCTTCAGTGAACGCAGAGAACAATTGATCACCATCCTCTCTGTATCAGCCCTTAACATTTTTGAAAACTTATCAGGTTCCCCCCTTCAGTCTTCTTTTCTCAAGACTAAACATGCTCAGTTTTATTTTGTTTCCAACTTCTCCTCACAGGTCTGATTTTCTAAACCTTTTATCGTTTTTGTTGCTCTCCTCTGGACTCTCTCCAATTTGTCCACATCTTTCCTAAAGCCTGGCGCCTAGACTCGGACACAGTACTCCAGCTGAGGCCTCACCAGTGCCGAGCAGAGCGTGACAATTACCTCCCATGTCTTACATACAAGATGTCCCTTAATACACTCCAGAATAGTAGCCCTTTTTGCTAATAGTTGACTCATTCAATTTGTGATCCACCATAACCCCCAGATCCTTTTCAGCAGTACTACCACTCACACAGCCAGGTATTCACCATTTTGTACATGCACATTTGATTTTTCTCTCCTAAGTGAAGTACTTTGCACTTGTCTTTAAGTTACATCTTGCTGATTTCAGATCAATTCTCCAATTTGTCAAGGTCTTTATGAATTCTAATCCTGTTCTCCAAAGTGCTTGTAACCCCATTTGCACATGTTATGAAGATATACTCTCCACTCCATTGTCCGACTAATTCATAAAAATACTGAATAGTACCAGACTCAGATCTGACTCCTGCAGGACCCCATTAGATACCAATGGTTAGCTGTCAAACCGGTAGAGTGTAACTACTCTGTTAAGTATGGTCTTTCAACCAGGTGTGCATCCACTTTATAGTAATTTCATCTAGACTCCATCTCCCTACTTTGCTTACGAGAATGTAGGACTGTGTGAAAAGCCTTACTAAAAATCAAGATATATCATGTCTACTGCTTCCCCCAATCCACTAGGCCAGCAACCCTGTCAAAGAAAGAATTAAGTTGGTTTGGCATGATTTGTTCTTGACAAATCCATGATGGCTACTCCTTATAACCTTATTATCCTCCATTTACAAACTGATTGTTTAATAATTCGTTCCAGTATCTTTCCAGGTATCAAAAGTTATGCTGACAGTCTATAATTCTCTAGGTTCTCTTTGTTCCCCTTTTTAAATATAGGCACTATGTTTGCCATTCTCCAGTCCTTTGGGTCCTTGAGTTCTCACAGATAATTACTAACCCTTTTGACATTGCTTCACCTAGTTCCTTAGGTACCCTAGCATGAACTTCATCAGGTTGTGCCAACTTAAATACATCTAAGTAATCTAAATATCCTTTATCCTGTTCTTTCCCTGTTTCATGCCTCCCTGCAAACAAACTACCCTCCCTCTGGAGCTGAAGAATCCCATGGGGTTATTCAACAGGGCAGAGACAGGGTAATAGCAGCAAAGACAAGAGCCATGTCTATTTTGGCCTGCCAGCACTCAGAAACGAGTAATATCCCATTTCCCACTGCGTGGCAAAGTGATCCTGTAATCAAAGCACAGGGCCAAAAGCTAGGAAGTTCTAATCTCTGCTCTTCCTTCAATTTGCCGCAAGACCTAGGGCAAGTCACCTACTTTCGCTGTGCTTTAATTTATATCTCGTCTGCAGATTTAGAAATACAGCTGCAGAGATTAATTTGTTCACATTTGTACAGCATTTTGTGGAGGTAAAGTGTTATAGACGTCCAGTGTCCTCTTGGAAATGGAATCAAGAAGAACCAGATCCCGCTCACCTGTGAAAGTAGTAAGTGGCCCATTCAGTCCGAGTTCTCTGCTCTGGGTACCAATTCATGCTAATTGTGGCAAGGGTCTCTGATAAAGACACCTGTGCATTGAGAACCAAACTCGTTTTATATATTCCACTGAACAACTTTAGATTACTAAAGAGATGAGCTTCATCAAACTTGTGAGCTCGCAGTCAAAGGTTCTATATCCCTTATTCCATAGCCAATCCTCTGAGCTACCCACCACCCTTATAAGTGAATTTATAAAATAATAAATAATAAACTAGCAGCTCTTTGCATTAGACTTCGTAGTCTTTGCGGTGGAAAGTGTGTTTCCCTGAATATTCGTACGATGCATAGCACAATAGGGCCCTACTTTGATGGGGGACTTTGGCACTTAGTGCAATACAAATAAATAGATCTTTAAAGCATTTTACACTCTACCAGCTAACAAAACAAAGGGCCATCCTTATTTCCAATCATTCATTCTACTTGCTCATTTACGCAGCAACACCAGGCAAAACTCTTCTACAGGGAGCCAGTGGGGGAATAGGAGTTTCTTTTCCAGCATCATTCAGTGATCTACGTTGTGGATATTTCTTGTGGGGAAGGGAAGAAGGGAAGAAATAACTAGGGCGATGAAAATATGATCCCAAAAGGAATTTTGTTTGAAAGGATGAGCGGTAGTAGGGTGTGAAGGAAACCCTGGACCTGATCCTGGTCTCTCTCAACTTCTACATCAGCATAGCTATACTAACTTCACTGGGAGTTAATCCTAATGTAAATGAGCAGTATAAATCAGAACACGCTCCACCCGGTGTTGTCTGTGGTGCTGGAACCACTGAAGCCTTCTACTCACATCATAATCATCTAGCAACAAATCCTTCCCTCCCACTGTAAAGCCAAAGCCCTTATGTTTTCCTTAGTGACAAGCAGCAAATTGATGGAATGGAACCAAGAAGGGGGAATGAGAAGCGGGGCTAAAGAGAAGCACTAAGCTTTACACCCCTCATTTACTTCAGTGAAAGAACATCTCTTTCTTTCCCTCACCTCCAATTTCTCTACGTGACCAATCTTCTCTAAGCCTCACTTCACAAGAATGATGCCCCAGGGCAGGGTGTAGGAGAGGGAACATGTGCTATTTCAAACAAACAGCTTTTTTTAAACTCTGCTGCCAGACCTTCAGATTTTATGAGTAAGACCTCAGGTAGTCTTTCTACTAGTAAGAACCTTCCTAGTTTAAAAGGCACAGTATAGTCCTGCCAATGCATTGTCCCTTTATTTCCTGCATAGGTTGGTTTTATTTCTAAAATCAATAATACTGGAGATGGTTGTATTGAGGAGTTCTCACCAACTAAACCTGGTGCCAAATGCAGAGTAATATGTAAGGGAGTGTAATACGCTACCTGAGAGCTGCTTACTGATGTGTAATTTACATCCCAAGATAGTCTTCTTTGGATTTTATAGATACAGAACAAGCCAGCAGATGAATGGCAGAGGAGTCTAATTAGGACCACAGCGGTCAGAATTTATTAGTCACCATCTCCTCCCTACAACCATTCACAAAGGAATGTGCTCCTGATCCTTTCCCTAACCCCAAGTAGGGTTTGGCATTAACAGAACTCGAGTCTTCGCCTTGAGTACTGGATATCCCAGCTAGCTGACAAAGGTACCAATACCACATGTGCTGGGAACAAAGAACTGATTCCATGATTGTTCTTTATGGGGTTTCTTGCATCTTCCTCTGAAAGACCTCATACTAGTCACTGTCAGAAAGGATCCTGGACTAGCCTTGTCTAACCAGTATAGCAATTCCTATGCCTGTGCCAGGGAGGGGAACAAGAGCAAGTCTCAACTGCACTGTTTCACTCTGCTCTGGCAGGGAGAAAGAATAACCATGTAAAAGCTGGTCATTTGTTCACTTCTATTAACTAAAATACATTAAACTTAAACAGCTCAACTAGGGAGTTCTAAGAAAACACCGGTATTCTGTTCTTGACTCCTGTACCTTTGTTCTTATGAAACTGGGATCTCACCACAATACGTGATCTTGCATTGGATACTTAATCCAGTGGCATACAACTGATGATCTGGAGAACCGTGACTGATTGGAGTTATGAAAAACCACACCCAAGACGTGTTGCTGGTTGTTTTCAAGGAGCTGTTGCACTGTTGTGACTTAGCATCACAAATTCATGAAATATCATAATGGAAATGTTGTAATGAAATATTAGAGCAGCACACCTTGATTATGTGGAGTCTGTAAATTTAGTGCGACACAGAAAGAGCAACAAGTTAATTATCACTGACAAGTTAATAATGAAGTGGCAGCCTTCAGTCATCTCGCCCGCCCTTATAGAATTCATTCCAATCCTTGATGTTTTTATTTCCTTAGTATGAGTCCATGCTTG